TATTATAAAAGTTCCTTTTTTAAGAGGTTGCCTTTAAAGTATCTTATAATAATATTTCGATTTCTAATATCTTCACGCACACTATTCAAAAATGAAACAATTTTTAAACTGTTGTAGGTACACATATGTAATATAGAATAAGCAAATTTTTTGTAAAAAATTTATTATTCACACTTTATTACAACAAATTAACTTATTCTACATTTCTATTCTACGATATATTACATATATGTACCTACAGTTTATTAAAAACTTTGTATGTATCGTATTTTTATTAAAACCCTCAGATAAGAGATACGGAACCTAGTAACTCTTACAACGGTTTCATCGCGTTTGTATTTAGTTTTATTGATGATTCAGACACATGCTATAGACCCAATAATATTTGTTTTATCTATAAAGTCATTTAATATTAAGAAAAAAGCTTACTAATTAAATTCATTCAAACAACAAAGAGAAAGGTTCAATTATAACAAAAGCAAACCATGCAGTAAAGACTATCTCTTCTCGGTTTCTCTTGTTATTTATGCTACTATGAGATTTCATAAAAAAAATCAGACAAAGCGTCAGCACTCTCACCTAGAGCCTGCAAACAAATCTTGCAGTCGCCGCCAAGGGCCCTTTGTCCTTTGTCCTTTTCTAAGTGAGACACAAATACATAAGAAAATGACTGGTGCCTTTATTGCGCTGTTTAGATAAAAGAAACGACAAAGTGTATTTGCGCGACCTTTGAACGGGAAATTCAATGCAATAATATGTTTTACGGAGTTCCTAATAAAGAATACTAAAAACTCATTAATCTGTTATAACTAAAATAGTTTCAATATGACCAGAACTTCTTTAAGGTTTAATTCTCGGCAAGGTGATTGTGGAATTTTTACTTTGTAACTTATAAATTGTCTCGGGTATAGGTAATATAATCCCAAACTGATTACTATTTTGTAGCACCGAAATTTTTAGGATTGGATATCACTTTAATTTTTTATAAATAAAACAACACACCCTCATGACCTACTTGCCCATTTACTCAAATAAAAGAATAATGCTCTGCCTGTGAAATCTATTCTCAATCTATGGATAATTTATTACAGTATTATATTATATGAATATTAATTGGTTGGATCGGTTTTAGACTATCGCATACTAAATAAAAAATATTCAATAACATTGCGTGAAAATATTATGAAACTATATATTTATTTTCAATAGAATAAGTCGCAGCCAGCAAAATAATATTGTTAGTACAGTATTTATCCATCCTTTTTCACATTATAACACGTTTTCAAGTCTAATACAGCTGTTCAAACAGAGCATAAGTGCGAAGACACTGCGATGGTAGGGTAGGATTCGAAATAAGATTACTATAGGCTTGAATGTTTAATTTTGAATGGTTGTCTTAAAAATCTCTAACAAAAGAGTAAAAAAACTATTTGAATCTATGTACTTATGAAACTATACAAAAAGCAACTTCTTGCGTATAGGTAATTTTATTTTTAAGATAACAACATTGTTATACTTCTTTACTCGGTTTTCAAATACGCAAACGGCATAAACTATAAAATTTTACTTTGTTTAACTGTTAAAAATAATCGTTACTGTTGTTTTGATTGTTGGAATTGAAAAATCAATCTAGACGAACTGACATTCCAAATTAATTTTCGACATACCAATAATAAAAAAATAGAATAATAAAAATGATATTTTAGATCTGGGGCCTAAAAAAAGTTTAACTGTAAATAATCTGGAAACAAGACGAACAGTATCGATGATACGAGCATAGTTACAACAATGATTTACAGTAGGTATACCTATAGTGTATCATCATCACAATAGGGTAAGGTGGGACAACACGGGAAACACAATGAAAATTTATTTTGGCTGTTTGGGTGAAATGGCTGAACATTGATGAAAATACTCTCTGTAGGAGGGAAAAAGTAACAACTACTTGAAAAATTCATCAGTCCTACTAGGTCCTGGGTAGCTCAGTGGTTAGAGCAGTGGCCCGGATTCCGAAAGGTCACGAGTTCGGATCCCATCTCAGAGTGCCAAGGAGAAAGTGTTTTTTTTTTGTTTGTTTGTTCAATCAATCGAATCTCTCCTCTTTATAACATAAGTATAGATAAGTGAGACAAATACACACAGCAAAATGTGAATTTACTATAATATACAATTTTTCCCCAATTATTTTGTAGTTTAGGTTTAAAGTCGAGCGTAGAAATTTGATAGTTTTGTATAACCTAACGAGCTCAACCACCCGAAACGATATCAAGTAACATATTTGTTTTTACAAATTTATGTGTCATGATAGGCGAAAAAAAAATTCCACTTTTGTTAAGTTCAAAACCGAGTGCTCTTGTGAAACTGTGATAATTCGATTCTTATAAATAAATCATTGTAGGTAGCATTTTAATTGTAGTATCGATCAAATATATATGAAAGACTTTTCTTTGGTACTGTCCTAGAGTGTTGTTTTAGCTATCGGTTATTGTACGCACACCGTTACATTAATGAACTTTTGAGCATGATAATTGACAACAATAACTTTTCAATTCTATTTGATGTTAGATTTTAGAAGTATGCGCGTTAAAAATATATATGATTAAATTTCGTAAAAACAGCATGTATTGTTTTAATATTATTAAAATTAAGAAAGAAAATGATTTTATTAGCCTTCACAATACATGTATACAAAATTATAGAAAAAATATAAAGAAAAAACAAAAAGAAAACCACAGAGATATATTGGAGGCCAACCAAGGTGGCTCTCTCAGTGATATCTTCTGTGACAGTAAACATCACAAAAGCACTGATATTCTGAATGCCCCTGTCGTGGAGTGCCGTACTAAGTTTTACCATATATCACGTGATCACACCTAACGACTTTAAATTTGAATTTAATGGTGAGATATCCTGCTTAGAATTTTCGATTAATGTTTTAATCGAATGAACCGATATGGTTTTAGACAAATGTGTTATGCAAAAAAAACTTTTCTATGACGTCGACTTCGTACGTCGTTACGTTCTATCTTCCTTTTGAAGTGTCAAGTGTGACCCACCGTAATAACTCAACCGCACGTCAGACCAAACAACCAATAACAAATATACATAAAAAAATAAAATAACCCTACGTGCTGTCAAGCACCCGTAGGAGCATTATAAATAAACGCTAACAGTGAAAACAAGGGAGATATTACCATTGAAAACCATTAGGCTGTATAGGTTCATTTGCTTTTAATAAAATGAATAGTATTAAAATTGCTGACTTGCAATTTAATATGTTATATTTTTCCATACGAAAAATTCTTGTGAATACTAACATTTCCGTAGAATAAATTGAAATGCCACAACACGTTCTAGCAGTGGCGTCGCATTTAAATTTCATCAAGGAATCCAGAGGTTGTCCCTGCGAGACGGGAATTGTGTTTTCACGCGAGTGAATGTGACTTTTAGGAGAATGTGTCCCATGATTTTAGTTTATATTTTTCATGCGGTATGAAGATTTTTCATTAATTAAATTAAATTATGACATCTCGTGTATTCCCTTGTCGTGGCGGGCAAAAGGGAAAATATTTCTGCAGCATTTTCACATGTTCATATAATCAAATGAATCCTGTTATGGCCCATAACTTATGGGATTAATACTTCAAAATACGAAAATCAAAGTTGAAATTATCTGTATCCAATTATCGGTAATATAAATATCTCTCTCTTATCTGTTCTTTCTCCGTGGCCGAGTAACTCGTACCCCGGTTTCAAAGTATCTCACGCCAACTCGGAGGTCCTGGTTTTAGCTACTAACAAAAGTGATTTAGCTACTTAATTTGGGATCTCACATATGTGAAGTTGTCTTATATTAAAATCTACAGCTAACAAATAGAAATAAAATTAAGTATAGGAGGTAGACAGCCAGTTACAAGCCTTCATAAATATGAAATAAACGTAACAGGTACAACTAGTAAAGCAAAACCTACTTGTACACAAGTAGTTAAAACACTAACAGAAAAAACAATTGCTTAATACATACATATCTTGCCGAAAATGAACTAGTATTAAATAAATTCCAATTTTCCGAGTTTTTGCGTTTGAATCTACCAATCCTAAAATCTTAAAACCTAAAAATCTCTGAATCTACCAACGCGTGAATTAATATTATGAATCATTTGATCTCACAGCATTATTAGGTAATTTTGTTAACGTTAGCGTAATTAAGGAAAGTCGATAGCGCTTCAACTACAACCCTTTATCTCACAGTTCTTGTTACTATATCACAAAATAATAAATGTATCTGTATTGATTTGTGAGAAAAACATTGTACCAATAATATTGAACTTCAGATAGGTATAGTATAATGGCTAAATTCAAGTACGTAGTTGTGACAAAAATGAGCTGTGATTTTTATATAAAAATTGCAGAATTGAGGCCAATGATAATTTTCGCATCGAAATAATCCTATTACCATTCCATTTCCGCAGTAGGATCATATTATCTTTCATAAGTGACATGTCTTCTATTTGTGGAAGATTTTTTCGGTCAGTTGAATTTGTGAAGAGTCGTTTTCATTTCAGTGAGTTACACATTTATTTATCCATAGTATAAAACAAAATCACTACCCACTATTATATATACCTATAATTTTTTTTAAACTCAGAAAACATGTACTCGAGTAGTATGTACATTAATAGTTTGATGATGTTCTTTTTGAAAGCATATGAGTATATTATGCTCTTTTAAAAATCTATAGGGTAGTTTCGTGTGCGTCGGGTATGTATAACTCTGCATATGTTTCTAATATTCTAGTGGAAAGTGACTTCATAGTCTAATGAATTCACTTCCCAATTGGAATTCTCTGCATGAAATAAAGGATGGAAAGAAGCAGCCCTTGCCAAAGTCACATCCTATATAAAACTATAAGCTTTAATACTTTACTATTGGTATAATAAATGTGTATCCGTGCCATTAGGTAAAACTAATGAGTAGTTTTTAAACAATTTATCAAAATAATGATTGTAAGTTAAGTTGGTTATATTGAATAGACTCGAGTCATTAACAAAAGATCGTTATGCTACAAAAGCATTTCCGTCCATAGCTAGTTTATTGTTACAGTATATCACACAATGGGTGAATGGATTCTCATTTGAATCCGATTCTCGCCCTTCTGTTTAAATTAATTTTCTATTTAATAGATAATAGCAAAAAGCCCATGTTTATTATTATTTCTGTTAATTGTTTACAGGTTTTGTTCGATAGTTTCACATTGGGTCGATTTACTTCTTTCACTGAAGACGGCTGCCCCGATGGCTACATGCAGATTCAAGAAGCGAGCAGACCTCAAGTGGGTGGCTCTTGGTGTGGAACATCATGGGGTCCTTCGATATATTATAGCGAGACCAAATCTATAACGCTCATAATAAGACTGCTGCATCTTTCAAAAGACCAGAATAACTACAATTTCAATTTCCGAATGGCATATAAAGTTCTGAGGAGAGAATTTGCGACAGTTCGATATGGAGGCACCCCACCATCGGGTATGTAAATTGGATGAAATGTAGCGAATTATTTCTTATAAGATAGATACCTATATATCCTATCTCTCGAAATTCCCCGTAGTAACTGTAGGTACACATTTTATGCCAGTTTTTTTTCGTCATCTTTTTGAAAATACCTCTATAGTATCCCTTTTAATCATAACGTCATCACTCAATACTTAAACCATTTTTATTTTGGTCATATATTTATTTGTATTATTATGACTTTGTAAACTATTGCTATGTATCGAGTTGAGATTTTTGTTTTTAATATTTTATTTTTGATAAATTCTGTGAAAATATATCATACATTTATGACAGTATCTACAATTATTTTTCTATAAATTTCTTAACTGTATAAAAAGTATTCTCATGCAACTATTTCAAAACTTAAAAAAAAATGTTGATTCCTCTATTTCAGTAGGTATCTCATTATATACGTTTATTCTTATATTATATTTTTATATCTATTATAAGAATATATTGGGCTTACAGTTTGAAATTGCCTAGAAGAAGTTAGTAAGTTCTATCTTCAAATGAAAAGTGTTTAAGTACACAAAGCATGGTACTTTGTGTACTTAAACACTTTTCATAATTAAACACATCAAAGAAAAAGGGTTGCCAGTTTACACGCAATAGAAAAAGAAATATTCAGTCGAAAAATGAAAGCAAAACTTACAATAAATTTTGTATATATCCACTTCAATAGTAAGTTAATATTTAGTATTAAAATAGAATCGAACAGATATTTCCTCCAGTGTTGCCTTTATTAATACACCAAATAACTAAACGTCAAATTTCAACTTCATACCTATGTAACCCACCTATTGGCGCATCTAATGTTGCTTTGATTATTATATTTTAGTGGCAATAGTGACTGCACTAGAGTCCAAAACATGAACAGTGGGCATTAAATTTTCAAACCACCGTAGCTACTAGGGTTGTCAGGTGTAGACAATGAAAATAGTCAAATGTGATTTCTGGAGAGTTTTTTATTGACAGATACTAATTTACAAGTTCTAAAATTGTCCCTTTGCCATTTATACTCTAAAATCGGGTATTTTTTTTTTCATCATATGAAAGAGTTTATAGAGATACACAATCGCTCCATACATGCCATATACCTACGGGATTGCCAAGTCGGTCAAAATCAAGGTTGAAATTCAAACGTTGCTTGCTCTCAGTGTTGCCAGTCAATTATTCTAATTTTTCCATCAGGTATCTTAAAATTTTAAAATTAATATATTCGCATCGAAAAGAATAAAAAAACCGACAAAAAGTGTTTCCTCAATAAGCATCAAAAAATTTTAAGATTTCTTTATTACCTATCAATACTTTACCTACTTGCCCAAAAATTGTTTCCCTGGAAATACTCTGACAAATCTTGTTGAGTGCGTCAAAATGGGCTGGATGTGGTGGCGATACCCAAGTTTTGGGATAAAGCGGCCGCTGGTTTCTCCGCCATCTTGAATCTTGAAAATCCGGCTCCGCATCGGTGTCGCCAACTTAATAGCGCATCCGATGCAGTTTTTACTATTTTCCTACTGGTAATACTAACTGTGTTAGAGTCGACAAAGTAAAAAATGGGCAAAATTTTTCAAATCGCCATAACCATCAGGGTTGCCAGGTGATAACTATGAAAATGGCCAAATGTAATTACAGGGAATGCCCTCCATCGACAAATGGACCAACATATTCTTATCATTATACATAAATACATATTCTTATTATAGGTTTTATATTTAAATGGTTTGGGTATGCTATATTTATGACTAGTTTATGTCCATCTCTTCGCACTCTAAAGCTATGAGGTTAACATGCTTTGGTAAAAGATTTAATTTTTATTAGCAAAATTACACACTTTTCGTATATGTTAAATAAATGTTTATATTTTTAGATCGTCCATTTTTCAAGATGAGACCTCCGCTTTTTCCCGTTAACGTGTCACGCGTGGAAGATACAACCGTAGGGAGGATAACAAAAACGAGCGAGTATTATCTCGGGGATTTGATTTCTGGGACATATTGTTCACGTATCTTCAGTGACTGTGATCGTAAAAACTGCAGGTTACAGTCACCAAATTTCCCCGGTGTTTATCCAAGGAATTTGACATGTTACTATGCTGTAAGACAACACGAAGTGCCTCAAGGGAAACACGCTTTAATAGTAGTGAAACAACCAAACGGACAACTAGTTTCTATAAGGAGTCAAAAGGCTTTTTATGCGGCACAACAAGAAAGGGGTAATAGTGGAAGAGAATTAAAGTTCTGGCAACAATGTGACGAGGTGCAGGATTATGTAACGGTGTATGATGGTTATACGACCAGAGATCCAGTCGTTTTAAGGTTTTGTGGAGGCGGTGTTTCGGTTCCAGAGGCAATTTCTAGTGGTCCGGAGCTATTAGTGGAATTTACAACTTCGCCCTTCGGGACTTTCTTGCAACCGGCCACTTCACAATCCCTGCACGGATTCCAATTAGAAGTCGAGGTGAGGTCGCTTAACAGTCTATAATGTCTTTATGCTTCTGCATAACGATATCCGTTGGATACAATTAATTAATTTGGTTTAATAAACTTTGCTCAAGAATGGCCAAGAAGCGCTTGTCATGTTATTGAACTTTGTATGCCATTAATTTATGAAATTTTTTTAAAGCACTTTTGTATTCATAGAATAATAAGAATAGAATAGAATAGAAAATTGTTTATTTAGCACCAAATTACAGGTATATAACATTGATAATAGAAAAATTCAAAATTAGGTACTAAAAAGCTTGTCTTGGTGAATTAGTTTTTTTATAAAATCTACTTTTATAAATAAAAGTGATGTTATATTATCAGGACACTAACCTTAATATTTTCAACGAAGCAATGTCTCAATTTCTTTCCCGAGTAGTTGAGAAAATTTATTATCATTAAAGCAGGGGACGTGCGAGATGCTGTTTATTGCTACGCTTTATATCGCTGATGTAGCAATTTTGTCGTAAAAAGAATCCTCTGGAGATACCTTATCTTGTTCGTAGACATATTTTTCGGTAGTTTTTCTAGTATATACTCTACAGTTTTATGTTTACAAAGTATATTGATGAAGCATAATTTGAAGATACCAACCATTTCAACCAATTGAACAAATGCGTAACTGTTTACATATCTTTAATAGTTAATTCCTTTTTAGGTTAATGGACTCATATATCATCATGATGTGTTATTTAAAGTGTTTCATTCTCGCTTAACAATAATAAATCAAGTGGTAGCTTGAAGGTTTCGTTTGGGCCCCTGCCAAAGTATAATTAGTACCCATGGCTCGTACGGCTCGGTTACAATAATGGAAGAACCAAACAGAAGCGTCCATATTGTTTTCAGTTACGAAATTAAGGCGTGACCCTTTTTTTCGCGACATTTAGACATCACCCAAAAATATATATATAAAGGTTTAATAAAGAAAATTCATTCAACCTATAGTTTCATGGATCAATATATTTTGATATATGATCGGGATGAGATAATATAGTTTATCCCTTGATTAGTTTTGATTAACGATGTCAGAGGTTTCACTGTGTTTAACTCATAATTAATCAATTTCAGGTCAGGTTCGTGGATCAACAGTCCCCTACATATGCTAAGAACAAAAGGGCCTGCGAATTTTGGATAAGGGGAACTGGCAGGGGTATTTTAGAACACCCGCAACATTCCCTACCTCCAAATATAACATGTTTGTATCACATGCAAGGGATCGATACATCCGGACCATCGGGAAGGAATATTATGTATAGACGACCCTCGTTCTCAGCTCCAAGATTCAGAGTGTGGTTTTCGGTATTGAAATTTTATGTGACCAATGCTCTTAATCCCAATTTACCCGAAGATGAGTACTGTGGAAGTCATTTAAATATATGGGATGGGCCAATGAGAATATCTCCGGGATGCAGCGATATATTTTGGTGAGCTTATATTGATTAATCCTTGGAAATTTAACCAAAATTTGTTAAGACGATCATCAAAAGCAGTATCAGACCCAATAAAATTAATATGATATTCACTGTAAATATTGTCTCTATTAATTGAGACAACACTTCTGTATTTGTTTATTGATGTTATTCGAACGTACTTGGTAATCCAGCAAACATTTGTTATAGTAGCATTATATAGTGTATATTTCTTTTGGCACGTGTTTGTGAAAGGGTTGATTTTAAGATAGGAGAATTTTAGTATTACAACTGTTATTTATTTACTTTATTTTTGAAGATCCACTATAAATTTTGAAGCTGAACGAGAAGACAAAAGAAAAAACGAGATAATCAACGTGCCCGTTAATGAGATAAATAGGAAATGGGGATTTCGTATCAAAACATAACGGGTCAAAACATATTATTATTATTTAATTAATCGTAAAGTATTACGATTATTGTTAAAATACTTCACAAAGATAAAAGACATTTATGAGTCTTAAGAATAATTTTTTTGATTACATACGATATTTTCTATCGACATTATAAATTCAAGTTTGGACTCTGACAAACATGATGTTACTTTCTCGTTTTCGATTGCAGCCTATTTGGATGCACAAAATTATTTGAGTGATTATTAATTTACATGCCCCTTTAAGTGAATACTTTTATTTGTGTAACCGTAGGATACGAATTGGAAACTTATCCAAAAAAAAATTCCCATAGTAATGAAAATAACCTTTGGCAAATGTAAATTGACACCTAAGCGTCTGTGGATTAATATAAAGGTCATTTCAGTGATAAAGAGAGATCAGTACAGATGTCTCGAGCAACGTCACCTCAGTCTGTAATCGTCGGTCGCCCGCCAACAAATGCAACACTAGTAGCGAGGTTTTGTCGAGAACGTGCACCTAGGACTTGCGAACATGCACTACTACGGAAATCAAGAGCCTGTGCTAGAACAGAAAGCTTCTTGTCTAAAGGAGATTCCTTAACTTTGGAGCTGAAACTAACACAAGGAACGGCGCTTAAGTATGACTTCATATTATTATTATTAGAAAGTTAACAAGATTCTGATCTTACAAAACCGCAATTTTCGTAAAGCTTTATTGAAGGTAAACCAAGTTGAGCAGTATGCTTAATAGGGAGAACCAATCAGCAGGCTTAATGCCGATTGTGCAGCTAAGGCCATCAGCTAATGTGCCTTTCGAAGGAACTCAATACAATAAATTTTTAGTAGTTACTCATATGACCGACCCCTACCAAAGCTGCTTAAACGAACACGGTATACATACTAAAGTATTGCATTCCCACCCAAAGTTGGTATGACGAAAAAATAAATCTAGATTTTTTTTTAAATATTTACATAACAACATCACATACATTGCTCAGATTCCAAAATGAGTAGCAAAGCCGGGACCTCAGAGATGGCGATACCTTGAAACCGGCGTGCGAACCACTCGGCTACGGAAGTCTTCATCGGAAATATTGAATTACATGTATTTTTTAAAACCTGCATTTAAAACATATTCGCAGGAATACAAATAAAAATATGGCAAAAAAGGTCTAGGTACTACAATGAATTTTCAACTTAACCACAGATCAAGGATTAAAATCGACTGGTGACAGACCATTTTATAGTTACTTCACATGTGTACAATACTAAGCCTGGATTGCCGTTTTGCACCTAGCAGTTAAAGTTAAGATTTATGTAAATTTTGACGTTGACTTTAACATTGACAGCGGAATGTGTTACGATAGGTTACGATACCTTCTTTCTTAGCATAGTTTAAATATGCAAAAAACTTTTGGCTGATTTGAAACATAAATATTTATAAGTGACTAATCACTATGGCAGTGGAGAGCATGACTTATCCATGTTGAATCATAAATTAATACGATCTGTGTTGGCGAGCAAATATGATGCCTAGAGTTAATAATTATAAATGTGGCAGAACGATAAAAAAGTGCCTACCCCATGTACTATAAAGTTTACCCGCGGGCATTAGACAAGAGACTTAAAAAACCTCATTAATAATGCCATATGATTTTGTTTTGATGAGGCTTATGATCCGACAAAATCAAACCATAATACGGATGACGATCAGTTTTTATTTGTGTGTCCATCAGGTAGATAGTTGGAAAATATTTCTATTCTTTTCATAATCATTAAATCACGGCGATACAGTGAGTTAAAATGTCTCATGACATCACGCTCTTGTACATTTACTACAAAACTGTGACGTAGTGAGCTCCCGCTCATCAAGTTTAATGCCTGTTATCTAAGCTATTTCTTGTTTAATTAAAGTCAAAATAAGCGACCATTTATTGTTATTTAGCGCAATCTCTTGCTAAAGTGAACATAGGGAAAGGGATTGAATCCCTAAGTACATATTATTTTTCTATTAGGGTCAGATGTGACTATCTTCTGTGATAATTGCCTACCAACCACTACTGCATACCAACTTTTCAATTGTATGTTGATTTTATTTTTGGCATGAATAAAGAATTATTATTAGAAAAGAAAACTTATCTAATATTTTTCTATTATCTTACTGACGGACTTAATAGATTTTTTTTACCCAGTCGTCATCCCCATTGTATCCTTGTATCCTACGCTTTAATGATAAATAAATAAAAAATAATAACTTTAACCAACGTAACTTGGGCGGTTAAAATAAACAGTTAACGTTGGCATTTAACTATTGCCAAATGCTGTAACTCATTATTTGCTTAACCGATATATAACCTTTACTTTTGATGCTACTATGGTGCCGTCCAGCTTTAGAGCTTCTTACATACATAACATAATATTATTGGATTCGAAAAGTTTAAAGCAAAAAGTTTCTATTGATATAAAGGAATTGTCATTTTATTTCAGGCCTGTTTTTTTCAAAGCTCTTTATGAGTTCGTTGACCTTCACCAAGACGGTGAACCGTGGGGGCGTGGTTCGTGTTCCAGACGATTTGCCTCCCGCTCTTTCCCAGAAGCGCCACCAGATCCACCTGTTACTTTTTCATCACCAAGAGACGTATTTTTGTACGGCCGAGGTGGAGCTAGAAATATAAGGTGATTCACTACAATCCTTTTTTGGAATGCTCGAAAATATAACAATTCTTATTGCGTGTTTTTCTTATTCGAATATAAAACGACTCTGGGGCAGTATTGGACTATCTCTTTTTTATCATTGTATTTTTTTTTCTGTAATATGATGACAACTAAATAATTAATAAACTATGTGCATAAAAAATCACTTGATTCCATCGTAGCTTTCAAAGTAAAAAAACCGGTTTAAAAATAAATACCGGACAAATGTGTGTCGGAATCGCGCACGAAGAGTTCCTTATAGGTAACGAGACAAAAAAATCACGTTTGTTGTATGGGAGATCACCTTAATTGAATAGTTTTTATTTAAAGTTACTATATAAATACATGCGTCTACCTGTTGTCACTATCAATATCCAGTCATTATCAGTATCAAAAACAAGCAAAAACATCACGTCTTTTGTACGGTAGGCCCACTTGAATATTTATTTTATTCTGGTTTTTATAATATTAGTACGTATTAGTATTTTTGTTAAAGCGGCAACAGAAATATATCATCTGTGTAAATTTCAACTGCCTCACTTTCACGGTTCATGAGATTCAGCTTGGTGACAGACAGCGAAGTTTTAGTAATAGGCTTCCCGTTTTACCCTTTGGGTACAGAACCCTAAAAACTGAACTTTGTAAAAGCAATTAAAATAAATTAAAAAAATTGTTATTAAATAATTTTGATTTTTATTGATTCAGCAGACAGTCTATTGTAAAGATAGATAATTGCAATGGTTTTAGATGTTCTTCTTATATTCTCTAGTTGTACTTATCGCTTCGAAGCAAACCCTGGTGAAGTAGTTCGACTCCGTGTTTGGGGAGTGCGCAGCGGTGGCAGACTCTGCAGATCAGTACATTCAGCACACTCACCCTGGTTCCGATGCGCTGGTGACATCACTGCCGCTGTCAGGGTCTTCGATAGACCTTGGAAGAATAACGGGCCAAACGTACCAAGAGATTGTTTGTGCAGGTATATATTATTTATCATCTCTGTAAAATAAAAGCCTAAACCCTGTCTTTGAGCACAATGAGGTTAGATAGGGACAAAGAATGGAAGGAAAGATATAACAATAATAACTAATCATTATTGAAAAAGAATAAATAAACAAAAGTTTACACAAATATTGTTCAACAGGCGGCCTCATAGCTTGACTCAGATATTGCGCAACTGAACTCAAAACTGTTTTGATTACTCGCAAAGTATTATAATTATTTATAATCATTATATAAGTGCTCGATAAAGCTCTCGGCTACAAAGTAACTGATGCGTTTACCATTTTACCCTACTAAAAGAGAAACAATTTAGCCTACCCTTTACATATAATGTATTTTCTCTCTTTAATGTATTTTATGACTTTGAGGTTATTTCTTTGAATATCCAGTTGATAGTATTTATGGGTTGATGCATGTACTCTCTGAAGAACTGAAGGTCTCCACAATCTGCCCGCTCACATGGCGAGACAAGAGATGTATTTTGAATAAATAAAAACCATATTGACTTTTCTATCTCTCGTTCTGTTAGTTGCCAGTAAGAGAGCAAGAACCGAGATGATTGCGGTTAGAAATCGGGCGCTATCTTGTAAGAGCAAATGTATTAGCATCGTTTTCGATGCCAAAAAATATTAAATTTGACTTGTAATTTTATACATTGATTTATTTTCTAGTGATGTTGGAGACTACGAGTTTACTTCTTCGTCAACTGTTGCTGAACTAAAATTCGACGTTGTGAACATGTCGGCTACGGATGACTTCAGATCCTTCGGCTTCGAGGCGTCCGTTGAGTTCGTCAGACTGGATACTACATGTGATAGTTCCCATAGAGTCTATGGAGCGAGTGGGCAGCTGAGATTGACTAACACGATGCCTGTATCACCTGAAGTTGTAAGATTTTTACAGTTCTATCAAAAATGCAATTGAAATAAACATTATTACTCTTTTCCTTAACCTATTTTTCTACAAATTAGACCCAAATTATCTGACATGTGGCGACTAATTACTGTTCTATAGAACTAGCTTGCATAAATTATAGTCTAACGCAGCCGTGTATAATGTATCTTCCTGTAGGTAGTACAGTAGTTACGGATCCTATTCAATGCAAACAAACAAAGTAAGAAACTTTACAAGTTAAAGTTAATCTTCACGAGTACCCGAAATAAAGAATCTTAGCAACATGTCTTAGCTTACATACAGATGTAGACACAAACTCATCCTGTAAAGGTGAACGTCCATATGTCAGCACACACGCACGGGTCGCACGACACGCAACGTCTATTTACAATTCTTATAACGTCATCAGCATAATTCCGACGTCTAACCTGACAGACGCATTTCACATAGAGGCATCTATGAAAAATGCGACTGCAGTGGACTTATGACATCGACAGATCCGTGCAATGCGTTGTGTGCGTGCTGAAACAGTGGACGAGCACTTTTAGCGTTGAAACACTAAATTTTTTTTTATGCAATTTTAAATGAAACGGAAAATACTTACAATAGGCATAAAATATGTTTCAGGACCGATGCGAGCGAAGGCCGTGGCTTATTGATCCGTCCCCTGGTCATTATCTCTACCTCCAAATCCGCGGTAGCATAATCAAAGAACCAGAGTTGGACAACTTCACGCTCCTCAACAACATCACTGCTGCTCCCGATTTGAGACACCTGTGTAGGACGCAGAATAGGATAGGAGTGTATACTGGAGGACTATCACCAGTATTTATCTGCCCAGATCCACCTGATGAACAGGTATAGTAACAGTAAAGTTACTACAAAACGCCTATCTATAGATCTATTTTGGGCGTTAGAGTTGGAGCAATAGTGACGAAAGTTTCGTTGTCCTACCGATGAAACGAGACTCGTATTCTGTCAAATTTGCACAGATCTTGAATCTCTATATGTAATCTCATCAATTCTGCAGTAAAAAGTTATGAAATCAACGTAAACCAAGTCGATTAATTCAGTAACTATCTTTTCGTGAGAGCAGCTATCCAACCTTGTCATAGATTTGGAAGTACTTAGCAAATGCACACAGGCAATAATCACCTAAGTATTTTTAAACCAATAAAGCACAGAGCCAATAACTTCAGATAGATTTTTTATGTAACATTATTTTACCACACTCACTCTCTGTCGCATAGAGACCTATGAAAAGGTGAAATTAGTATGCGCTCTAGAAATATAGACATACAGATAATATATCTATATGGACATTAATTATCACTCCCACATTTCAACGATGCGATACCAATTTCAAAATAGACACTGTAGAACTTATTGTATAAACAACAGTGACTGTAGCCTAAAAAGTGACTATATTTTCAATTAATTCACATGAATTCTGCTCCATATAAGAAGAATGACCACGGTAATATATAAATAATATGAACTGATATACTATAAAATAATTTCTTAAATATATAAACCGAACTTTAGATTAAGTATTATTTTCATATTGCAGGTTTTTTGAAGTTTGTATTATATATTTTTAGTTTCGTCGCGGGGCCTCTTATAGTTACAGTATAATACTTACTTATTATTATTTCTTATTATGAAATTCTTGCAGAATGATGATGTCGTAGAAGTATTCTCTGATGGTTGGCTGAAGGAAGTAGATCCACTCGCTCGACATGTGATGGCTCCGCCACCTTCTCCTGACCGTTTTGATTTGGACTGGCCGAGGTCATTGTCTGTGGAACTCATACCAGTCGAGCCAGGAACTTACTATATCACATGGTTGGAACTCTCGAGAAGGTGAGAATAATCTTTTGTTTTCACATAAATCTTAATAAGATCTCAAGGTGGGATTTGTAAAATAAAATTCAAAGTTACCCCTAAAATTCTGCATCATTTAAATTTTTCATATTAACACTCTGTAGAAAAATATGTATTTCGAGACATTTTAGCTACGACATGACAACGTACACTAACAAATCGTAATGGTTTTGAATAGGATCAAGAAAGGCAGTGGCTAGTGCCTTATTTAACTGGTTGTTGTATGAAAAATATACATCGATGGAATAATTAATGAAAGCACAAAGCTATGATTATTATTAAAATTAATATTATAGGCAATATATTTGCTATTACTTTTATTAAAAAAGCGATATCCAATTATTGAATAAAAAATTCACCAGCCCTAGATATCCCGAGATGACCAGATGACAAAGGATCTAGAGCTGGTGGTGTTTTTAAGCATTTTTCTTTAAACATTTTATTTTATTTTTTAATATCACTCGTTATAGACACCCGAGCCCCCGCGGCGGTGTATTCGCCCTGTCCGGAGAGTGTGAGTACCGCTGCAAGTCTCTCGACGCATGCATATCCTCGTCACTGTGGTGTGACGGCGTAGCGCACTGTCCGCACGGCGAGGACGAGCGCCTGGCGCAGTGTTCAGCGCTGTTACGAATGCCGGCGCATTACGCGGCCGCCATGCTGGCATTTACTATACTCACCGCTTTTGCTGTGGTATGTCACCTCCTTGCTACTTGTATACTTAGACCATCCGCCTTACGTGGATATGTTCGATATATTTTGTATAAGAATGATTATTTTAGCCCCGTATCAAGCAAATGTTTAAAAAAAAGTACTATACATGCGTCAGTATAATGATCGAGAAGGAAAGGTGTGGAAGAATGTTTGATGTGTCTTTAGTCTTTATTAATATTATGGTTGACATAACAACTATAGCTAAAGTACAATACATGATTGGTTAATCTACTTTTCGCTCGAATTGAATAAACCGGCGAGTATGTATGAAAACAGTAATGAAAGTGATTGAGGCAAAAATAATAATAAAAAATTAGTTTATTTCTGTATGTAAGGACCGCGCTTTATGGCGCCCGGTCTTCTCTTCCTACCCCGCAAAGGATACGGCGTAAATATAGAATGCTAATATGTACATTATCACGTTTATAATACTATCTCACTAAAATATTTCATTAGAATACCGCTTCTGAAATCCACACAATTATAGTTAGAAACAATAATAAATAATTAAATATCTCTACTCTCTTCTAAATAGTATTAATTTTAAACGTTTCAATTGTAGATTGCAGTAGCGCGCTCCTGTCGAAGAAAACGTTCAGCGCTTCAGCAGCGTCTCAAAAGTTTATCGTCGGATACCGCCATCTTCGACGAGAAGGAAGTGATTTGCTGACCCAGCGAGGACTCCGTGCGGTACGTGGAAATAGACCGAGTCACTACAGTGTGACCGGCGTTACGCATGGAGTCCTTATTGAAATGCACTGTTGGGAACTAATCGAGTTATATTAGTGTTAAGCAGAGGCATTTTCTGATAATTGTTGAGCCGTGCCAGATGCGGGATCCATTTCAGATGTTGAATTATAAAAGTAGGAATTGAAGCGAATTACAAGGGGTTCGTTAGTTGTGAGAACAGAATCTGGAGGTTTATCTAAAGGTGAATATTTTTAAAATTCTCTCGCTGATAATAGACTTACAATGAATCATAATGATGATTCGATTTTTATTCTTAATGTAAATACAGTTTATGCGATTGTAGTAGAATTATAACAAGGATGATATTTTACGGACCAAGTGCAGTCGATCGGTGGCCAAATATTGTTCATCTCTTCATGTTTGAAAAGTGATGAAAGATATTATAGTTCTGAAGTGATGAAATAAAAAATCTCAATGGAAAAATCTGCACAGTGATGAAATTAGGGATTACTGAGTCATATGTATATTGTTTGATTGTACGTAATTCACCTATTTTGAGAAACTATAACACAAAAGACAGCAAACGAGTTAAATTGTTCATGAAATTTATTGAGTACAATAGGCAGCCAATATTTATAAATTAATAAAGACTTAAAATAGGTTCTTTATGATGTTAGAAATAAAACGCACAATATTACATCAGAGTATGTTTGACCGATCGACCTGAGGCACAAATTGAATAACATTTTGATTGTGATTGGACACGATGTAAATAATTAAGAATTCGTAGTGTCTCCTATTTAAAGTTCGTTAACGGAAACTAATAAATTACTAATTGTAATAAGCGTTAGTGATTATGATGTGGCAATAAATTTTGTTTTTAAGTTAATCGAAGTGACCCTGTGTTCTAAACGTTGCTCTAAATTCGTATACGTGATATAAATACTGCCATTTTATTAGTGTCGTTCTTATTCCAACTGCCACTATCGAGTGTCGAGTCTTCTATTAACACGTTGGCTATAAACACTACTTTTGATTTGACCAGTGATGTTTTTCATAAAAAGAAGAAGACGTGATCCCATTTTAATGTTCTTAGCAGCCAACGTGTTAAATTCGAGTCTTTTGTCAATCTTTCTTTGTAATGGTTCCTTTTCACTTTATTATGAAATAACCCTACCACAGAAATTATATTCTAAAACTTTAGTATCAATTCAATGTTAATTTTCATGATAGACATAAATAAGTTAGTATATAACAGAATATCCTAACGAAATAAAATCGTTGTAAATAGAACTAAAATTATTCATATCTTAGAGGTGTATTGAAGTGATATATGTTTGTTTCCCAAGGAAATTATTAAAGTTTATAATATCGCGTTAACTATTAGTGAAAGAAAATAGCTGAATGATCTTATATGAGAACAACTTCTTTAAATTGATAAATGAATTATTGTCGATATATAATCATTAAAGAATGTGTTGCCAAATGAAAATTATGAAACGAACACTGCCAAGAGGATTATGAATTGAAAGATAAACGCATTTTAAGTGAGATTGACGCTTACTTTGAAGATAAGTTTAAAAATAGTATAATATGGTGTAAGGAGTTGTATCTCATGTAAAATCAAAATAGAAACTTAGTGATCGGGTAATTTTTTTTTTAGATAGGTAATATAAAGAAATACTAAATTAAATATATATAGATATAAATGAAAAAAAGGAAGTGTTCTTTTACAATTTTATTGTTTCTACATAATGGTTGATTGACATAGGTTGTCTTATGGCAAGAACTTCTAGATATTGTTGTTATTTATAATGTCGTCTAGACGAAATTATATTGTTTATGTTCATATAATAATAATTGTATGTAATATAGACTCACTGGGTAGTTAAAGTTCGTCTTCCATTACGTATGATAATTCCAGATTTCTTTTTATTTATCCGTTGTTATACCATATCAGATCTGAAATTTTCAAAAATAACAATTTATTTAAATTACCAAACAAGAGTACTCCTGGAAGACAATAATGATGGATAATAGCTCTATAGACAAAGGTTACCTAATTTCAGGTTTTAAAGAATGGTTATGAAGAATAATGATGATATGAGATTTTTTTAAATAAAATTACTTAACGCAATTTCGTTTATTTTTAATTGAAGATACTCCACGAATTCAAACTTTGTCAAATACATCAACTGCCAAACTCTTTGGAAATTGGGTATTAATTATATTCGCTAGTGTTGTGTTCCAAATACATTTCTGACAGTTCACTGTCTCTTAATTTTTGTGGACCAACAAAAGATACTGGATATGCAAGTATAATGGAAGTGGTTATGTTTTCGTATTCCGGATGATGCATAATCATTATGAAGCCCAATGGTGCGGTAGTTAACGAGTTAGCGACTATTGCAAAGGTCGCTTATGAGATGGGTGACCAAAACGCTCTTAATTTTTGTGGACCAACGAAAGATACTGGAAGTGGTTATGTTTTCGTATTCTGGATCATGCATAACCATTATGAAGCTCGATGGTGCGGTAGTTAACGAATTCGGTCTGCAATGCGGAAGTTAAGCAATGCAATGGGTGACCAAAAATTTACTATCTCGCGTCACAGTGTTTCACACGCCATTGGACCATCGGTTCCAGCTCTATCTGCAGTCCTTAACACATACCAAGTCGTACTTGGCCCGTGTGTTAAATATTACTCTGCTTTAAACTATCGACTAGATTTGGAGGTAGTTGATTAATAAGTCGAGGAACCAAGTATCGAGTTGTCCTCTCGCCGTACGTATTGTTCGCACGAGTGGTACATAGGCGTTTCCGAGCTATCGTCCTTGTAAATATAGGATGGTTAATATTTTTTCGGTGTTGATTAAAATAATTTTCCTTAACTAAATTCATTTTACATTGGATATCTATAGGCAATACCTTGCAATGTTTAAAAAGGCCAATTTCATTATTGAAATATTGCATTTTTACTGAGGGGGATACAATAGTTTTCAATATTCTGTATTGAATTTTATAAATTTTTTCAAGATACGTTTTGAATGTGCGACCATAACTACTGAGACAATACTGAATGATTGAACCTGCTAACGAGTGGTATAACATAAGCCTGACCTTGATATGGAATGCGGCTTTTTAAAATTTTTAAGTTGGCCAAAAATTGTCTAAGCTTGTTACATATATGATCGATATGTAGTTCCCAATTAAATTTATGATCAATAATAACGCCGAGGTAAGTGTGGGAGTTGACTATTTCTATTAGAGGACAATTACAGTCAACAGTAAGAACCGAGTGTAGACAATTGTGATTATGAGCTTTTATGTCAACCATAGCAGATTCAGTCAGATACGGTGATTTGATGTGCATAAGCTTAGTCTTGTATGGGTTTAGGACGAGGCCTACATCGTGGCACCATCTAGTAAGAGCGTCAAACTCAGACTGCATTAACTCACATGCCTCTTTTAGGTTTTTTTTCCCAATGACCAAGCATGTATCATCAGCAAACTGATAACAACTACAGCTAGTTACGAATTCATTCATGTCATTAACATAAGATAAAAAGTGAAGCGGTCCCAGGACTGATCCCTGTGCTGTACCTTGAATGCTGTTTACCGAGTCACTACAAGCATCACCCACCTTTACACAAAAAGAGCGATTTTGTAGGTAATTCTTGCACCATCCAAATAACGGTCCACGAATACCTGATATTTCTAGCTTTTGCAATAGTTTCTCATGATTTAGGGTATCAAATGCACGAGAAAAGTCTACAAATACTACAAAAACATTCTTTCTATCATTTAAATATTCATTTATTTCATCGGTAAACTTTGAAAGCAGCTGGTGAGTACCTTTCCCCTTTTGAAAGCCAAACTGATTGTTGTTAATAACATTATGTTCATTGTAAAAGGTATGAATTTGGTTACAAATGTATTTTTCAGCTATTTTATCAATAGACGACAGCAGTGTTATAGGACGGTAGTTGCTATAGTCACTTCGCGTTCCTTTCTTAAATATAGGTCGCACACATCCGCTTTTCAGTTTCACCGGATAATCACCATGTTCAACGCTGCAGTTTATGAGACTAGCTACAGCACTCGATATTTTTTCACCTACTATTTTAATTTCGGACAACTTAATTTCATCTAAACCAGGAGCCTTATTTGAGTCAAGGTTTTTTATGATTTTGTATATCTTTTTACCAGTTGCCTTTTGATACAATATACTACTGTTATTGGGTTCAGGATGAAAACTTGAGTCAATGACACTAGTATCACAATTAAAAGATATATCTTTAACTACTCTATCAAATTTCTTCGCAAAATTATTAGCAATTTGTTTTTTCGTTAATCCTTGTGCTTCAAAAGCATTGAGTATTGCTTGATCGAGTGACAATGTTATCCGACCCATCATTTTATTTAGTATTTGATAAACTTTTTTCGTGTTTTTAAAATTCTTTTCGATGTTATTAATATAGTAAGCGTTTCTACGCTGTTCTAAAATTTTATGAACTTTATTTCTAGTTTGATTATATTCTAATCTTAATTTTAAGTCATTTGGTTTTTTTCCATAGGCCAAATAAATAATCACGTTTATCACACAGCCGAGTAACATTGTTGTCGATCCAAGGTACACGAGGTGATTTGTTATACTTTTTATAGTTAATTGTCGAAGATGCAACTTTTTTTGCCTTGTCAAATGAATTATAAATAAATTCGTAAATTTCGTTAGGCTTGCTCATTTTACTCGCTTGAGTCCAATCTACTTTACCTAGCTCCTCGCTCATAATATCATAATCTATTATATTTTTTTTTACCTCCTGTATATTAATTGGTGCTACGCAAGCAAACATGATCGCCCGGTGATCGGCCAGTACAAGATCAACCGCGGCTGAGTATGGATCTAATGTGGGGAAGCGCGCGAATATGTGGTCAATACAAGTTCTAGAGACAGTGTTCATTCTTTTTTCGATCCGTGTATAATCCGTGACTCCACACATTAGTCCACATTCGCTTAGTGCTTCCAGATATGAATCTCTGTATGATTGGGTTCTTAATTAACGTCTCTGATCAAAAGAAAATTGTTTTTCAGATCGAAAGCGGAAATACACCTACGTAGTTCTTTTATAAAAAAGGATTTGGTACTTGACGGTGGTCTATAGATAGCACACACAACTAAGGTTGTATTGCATCCTAGTTTTAATATACCAAACAGACTTTCGAAGGTATATCTATTTTTTTTTGATATTGTAAATTTCAAATGATTTTTGACATAAATTACAATTCCGCCACCTCTTTTATAAGACCGTAGTTGCGTATACATATTATAGCCGGGTATGTTAAACAATTGTGAAATACTATCACTGATGCCAACCTCAGTAACAACAATTATATCTAATGGTGATTGACTATTGTGAATAACCTGTAATAGCTTGATGTGATTTTTTATGAACGATCTTATATTAATATGGAAACAAGAAAATCTTAGATTACTTTTTGATGGTAACAATTGGAAGAAACCGTTAGTAGTTTTACAATCAAAGAGTTCTTTAATACAAAGAGTATCCATTATAAGTGAACCAATTACAAATATTCTTAAGTGATAACTATAAAAAAAAAGAAGTATATTAGCACATATATTATAATACTTCTATGAACGTTAGTATGTATGTACGGTAACAACACATGCATACTTTTAAAGTGTAGAACTTACTTAAGGGATACTAAATTCCTGGGGAAGTTGGTAAGATTGGCTCATTATTTTAATTCCTTCAGTGACATCATTGGTAATGTCTACTGCTTGTTTATTTGCATCTATCAGCCAGATGGAAGCGCTTGCACCTTTTTTATACACGTCGACCATACCAGAAGCCGCTGACTCAATCCTGGAGTTATATAATAAAATAATCCATCAAAATAAATAAAACTACTCTGTAAATCAGTACTTGTCTTATACAAAGATAATCCAATTAGGTTACTAGTTATATAGTGCTCTAGAACTCACTATAAGCACGAGTAGCTCGGTGACATAGTGAATAAGCGCTGGGGCCCGCGATCGTTGTTATTAAGTAACTTTCGAAAGGGTTGGTTACAGGATGGGTGAAAAAATATTATGTCGAGGTACTCCATTCACCAGAAGGGACGTTAAGCCGTTGGTCCCGGATGCATTTGCAGTCATTAATTCTCTCGTATTCGAATTGGGCCAATGTGGAAGACCATGGTCCATCCTTTTTAACCATCTATAAGGAAGACCTGAGTCCCTACAATGGGGATGTAAAGAGGCTGACGATGATATAGTGTTCACATATCAATTAGAGCTGCGGGAAAATGTAAAATGTTTGCCTTTACACCTTGTAAATTACAAATAGATGACATTAGTATTCTATAGAATCAGGCGTTATCTCGTGGAAGGCCATTGCTGTAACTGTGAAGCTAAGATATCTAGTTACTTGTACACACAGTGTACCGCCCGCGAACACATTGATAGCACAATCGACAATCGAGCGACTCTTCACGGGACATCTTCAGGAGTTATTAGACCTTACAGTCTTCTTCTTCTTCTTCTTCTTCTTTATATTAATGGCTTATCTGCGCATTTCGCACAATTCTGCCAATGTCAAGTCAGTAAATTTATTTTTACATGTAAAATGAAAATGATATTAATGAAAGATGGTGATGATAAACTATATATCCCGACCTCACAGTCTGACTGTAACAGTCAGACCTTGTACAGTTTGTACAGTATGTCATGTTTCAAACAATCTTTTTTCCTTTCTTTCTACTGGAACAGTAGTTTACTCTTCATTAAATTTCAAATCAAAAATATCATTGATTTTTGAATAATGGATGAAAGACTCTTTATTGTGAATGAACAGAACATAACAATGTAACAGACAGTACAATTGACGACCTTTTGCTAAAAAACAATTTCTTCCAGGCAACATTGAACTTTAATATATGTTTGTGAATCTGACCACATTGCAATCATAAAATGGCCTATATACTAGTTAATATTATTTTTATTCCAACTTACGTTTGTTTTGGTCCACTTGACATTATTGTTAAAAGGTCTTTCATTTCGGAATCAAATGGTTCGATTCGGTTGAAAGCCACCATTTCTGTATCGGTTAATCCAAAGCACACGGTGATTACTCTTACACCCGTCCTATTAAATACATGTTCCATCTGAAAATATTATTCAATTTCATTTCTATAATATCGATAATGATTTCTATATAGTTTTTAAACAGTCTTATATTACCCCAAGGCAATTACTGAACTTCAAAACTGCACTCTTCGTGGCACTATAGATTGGCACCGTCGGTACGTCTATAAGGGCTGCAACTGAGGACACGTTTATGATAGTACCTCCAATTCCACCACGATCTTTACGCATTAAATCATATGCTTTCAGGGAACTAGTTATCAAAGCTGTCTGAAAAAATTACAGGAAAGTATTTAAATTAGTTTTACCCACTCAAGAATCCGGGCGATTTTGGTCGCCTAAATTTTTTTTTCCAAAAATTGTTAGGTGACTCTGACAGACTCGGATCACGTTCCAATTTATTTTTATCTGTGGCAACTCTAACGGATCTTCTAAACATCGATATTCTGTATTCTATTTCAAATGCAAAATGCAGCGGCTTTACCGTATAGTTTAAGCCCTGTTTATATTGACATATAATACATACTTGGAATTTGGATTATGGTGACCCATAATCCAAATTCCAAGTATGTCAAAATGAAGTCGTGAATGATCTGTCAGGTTGATAGGCTGATCGTCGTGAAGATCTGGATATAATTTATACTACTGCGCCACTTTTGAAACTGTTGTTTAAAATGTTGAAAAAAAATGGTCTGAATTACTTACATACCAGTTTGCGACCTACTTGAATGAATACAGATGCTATTTTATTTAATAGAGCATCAAAGAGAAGGCAAATAAACTTTATAAATAACAATTATGTAAATAGTGACAAATAGAAAAACTAATTTATTTTAGGGTTTTTAAATTTTTATTCGATTCAAAGCAGCCAAATTCTATGTCCATTTGTAATTATACTTTAGAGGTTTTAACATTTTACCACTGTACAGGTACTCAACGCCGAACCTGTTATATATCATGGCAATTCATCATTTTTATTTTTATTTATTTATTTTATCTATTAACATCATCATCAGCCCTTTACGTTCCCACTGCATGGGCTCAGGCCTTCCTTGTGGATGGTTAAGGAGGATGGGCCACGACCATCCGCGCTGGCCCAATGAGTATTGGAGAATATTACCGGCTACAAACATAGCCGGGACCTTAATGTGCCTTTCAAACGACGACGTTGAAGGAGTAGTTCGAGACAATAATGTTTGGTCACCCATACCGTGACCGACCCTTGCGAAAGCTGCTTAACAACGATCGCGAGCTGCGACGCTTATCCACTACACTACCGAGCTACTGTTGACAAATACAATTATCAATCTACATAACAAAGACTCAGATAGAATTATAATTTTATGATTTTAAATTGTATTTGTATAATTTCGGTTACTCCGCTTAAAACAGCGTTGTAAACAATAGCTTAGTAAAGATTGTGATAGCGTAACTATGTTAAACTATAAAACAGAATATACTGATACTTACTACATTAACCTGAATGCATTTGACATAAGCTGTATCTTTGAGAAGGCCAGCAGCGTTGATAACGATATCGATGTATTTGAATTGACTAACCAAATTATCAAAAGCAACAGATAAATCTTCTGTAGTTATGTCACACATATGAAATTTCACTTTTTCTTCACCATATTTTGCAATTAACTCTTCTTCCATTTTATTCCCTCTGATCTCATTAATATCCAAGAACGCGACATGCTGGAATCGTTCCTTAGTATTAGTATTAATAAGTAACTAAGATTATTTATCAATACGGAAATTCTAATTAGTCCGTCAGTCAGATATAGAAAAATATAAGATACGTATTTTTTTATTGCTTCAGTTTAATAAGAAATGGCTCAGCCATTTTTGTCTTTGGTCACAATTATATAGAAAATGTTGTGACGTCATATGACATTTCAACTCAATGTCTCGCAAAAAGTAAAATAAAAAAAGAATTTTAAAATCAGTCCAGTAGATTTGGAGCACCGAAACTAACCAATACTAATATTATAAAGAGGAAAGATTTGATTGTTTGTTTGTTTGCACCGAATAGGCACCGAAACTGCTAGAGCTATTTTAAAAGTTACCTACGGGTAGCTACATCAATACGCGGTTGACATATGTTATAATTTACGCGTGCGAAGTCGCGGGATAACAGCTAGTAATAATAATAAACCTCGTTTATTGGCATTGAATAGTAAGATAAATATATAGATATCTAAGTTTCTTGTTCACAACCAAAGCTTGCCTCTTTATAATAAATATACTCTTTCCCTTTCCAACCTCTTTTCACAATTCTGTTTACGCACGATACAAAAATATAATATTAGCAAAATACATACTTTAGCGCCATCTTCCAGAAATTTTCTGACTACCTCCGCTCCTATACCACCAGTACCTCCAGTTACCAAGACTACTTTATCCTTTATTTCATACATTATTTAGTAATCAATCTGTGAAGTAGTTAATACTCTATTTAATCAATAAAAAATGAATATTGTTTTTACTTTCGTCAGTGTTCACTCTGACTATCGCGCGCAAATAATAAGTACAGTGAAGGAATTAAATATTTAACTTAACTTGAAAAATAACTAATGACTGTGTTGGCATTACCTACATCGATGAACAGCTCGATTCTTATTTTTGTAAGTTTTTGTCTTATTATCTTTTTATATAAAATTCTTGTGTTACTGTCTGACTGACTGACTCACAGACAACGTACAGCCGAAATTACTGAGCGTAGAAAGTTGAAATTTAGAATGAAGATTCCTTAGGGAGTGTTAAGGAGCACTAATAGAGGATCTTATGTAAGTTCCACCTTGAAGGGGCTTAATTAGGGGATGAAAGTTTGTATGAAACTCCGTTACTACAAGTGCTAGGAGTTTCAAAAATTGCAGTCCGGTTCTTTTTAGGACGTAGGTGCTCACTAAGATGGGATTTACGAAATTCGACCCTTAAGAGAGTAAATTAATGGATGATAGTTTTTATGGAATTTTCTCATTACTGGACTTGAAAACTAAACCACGCGGGCGAATTCGCAGGCAAAAGCTATAAAAATATTAGACAATAATATACAAGTATGCATATAAATTGTAGAATAATATATTTGTTGCTTGTGTGGTTTATTACAATGTTGTAAGAATTAAATTTATAAACTTTTTGTGAAGTCGTTGTTGCGTTACCCAAACAGAAACCTTACTAACGTTGTGGCGGTAATCTCGGTGTATAGTATTATACACAATTTAACTTTTCTTTGTTAAAATGAGTCATCCAATATATTTTACTTACGTTAATTTTTGTTTTTCACCCAATAAGACCGCACATCACAAAGGACCACCGCACATGCCCTATTAGCAAACGAAACTGATAACTACAAATATATATAGAGGCCAAACACAATTAATGATTAACGGTGTATATTATCACCTCACCCAACTTTATCAACCAATAAAGACTGTCTAGAAGCGTCGCATAAAACAAATCGGATCGGATGGAGTGTAGTCGTCCTTGTAATATAAAGAACAGCTATAGCCTGTCATCTGGGGGCCAATTCTACTAATTTACAACGATCGATCATCAATAGCGTTTCTGTAACGGTTACGTTTCGATTTTTGCTGTAAATTTGCATTCCGCTAACGTAAATTATCAAACGAACGTTTACTAAACTGAAACGTAATCGGAGCCAAATCGCAGCCGAACCAAACAGCTGTCATTAGTGTTACCAGAATAAAATAAATGAAATTATTAGTTAAACGGGAGACGATTAATGATTATTCATTCCTTCATTTTTTTATCATTTCTGTACGTAATGAATCTATTATATTCTTATTCGAACGTTTTAAAATACGGACGAAACACCCGAATATTAGCTACATTAAGAAAGTGCATACCTAAGTGTTAAGCTATAAGGGAAAATACCCAAAACGCGAATTTATAATTAATATTTTTATCATTATGGGTATTTGACACTATAAAAATAAGTTTCGTACTATTATCATCATGTTAGATAATAATCTAATAAAAGTTTATTTCTTAGAATCTGTAGATTTAAACAATTATATTCATCGAAAATAGAACAGATTCTCATGTAATATATTGACAGTGTGTTTATAATGTATCAAACAACTATTTTAATTAATTAGTTTTCAGAAAATCGTCATATACCCAATTCTAACTTTTATTAAGCACTCAACTTTAAACATGCTTAATATTTAAAGCATAAATCCGATATAATTAAGTCTTTTAATTAACAAAAAAGTCAGATGAAATACTATAAATCCTGGCGTCGACTAAAGATAACGTCAAGCTTAAAGAGTTAAGTTTCAAAATTCGAATGGTGTTGGTTTATTTTATTGTTTATACCGAGTTTTAATTCGCAAAATAAATGTTATTATGTGAGATAAAGTAGCATGAAAGTGAATAATATGATTCCGTAAAATAAAACGGTACCTACATAGGTAGGTCGTGAACAGAAAAGTTTTGACTCATTTTCGGTCACTAACAAACTGTAATAAGTGAGGTATGCAATCAGTCCAAGACTAGGACGAGCATTAATCCAGAGGTGTATACTTTACTTTAAACAACTCCGTTTCAAAAGAATGTACAACAAAAATAATCATTAAATTTATATATTTGTTTGTACTAAAAATTAAATGTTAAAGTTAAATGATGATTGCATATGACTTTAGTAACTTCAATCCATTTAAACAGAATTCATTAAACTTCATTGAATATCATCGGACTTCATCAAACTACATGGATAGTTCATATTGTGACTTTATGGGACTTCATTAGGTTTTCATATAACATTTCCAATTACGGGCATTGGAAATTACATAATAATAATAATATATATATTTATTTATTTGGGCATTGTTGAATCAACAACCGTAGTAGTCCGTAAAACTTAGGAAAAATGCAAAATTGCACCAAAATTAACTAAAAGTATATTAAAGTTTTTTTTATTCAATAAATGTTACTGCAGTTCTATTACATATAGTGAATTAATCGATTATTTTCCAATCGATGTTTGATTTTCATATTGCAACACCAATTCACTTTTTGTCAATACAAACCACAATGATACAGACAATGTTTTAATTAATCTTTCATTCATTACTTTTTCATTTTACATGTAGAAATTAATTTATTCACTTGACTTTGGCAGAATTGTGTGAAATGCGCAGATATACCATTAATAAAAGAAGAATGAAATTGACAAAATTGAATTGTAAATGACAATTTAATATGGGATATCTACTAAAACAATCCGCATATGTGTATTTTTTTGTAATATTAAACTGTAATAGAAAGTGAAACATTATACTTGAAAATATTATTTACAAAATTAATTTTATAAAATAATTCATACCATGTATTGGCTACGCACGTGAAATTGGCAGAATTATGCGAAAGCCCTTAATAAAAGAAGAAGTTTTCGATTGAAAATAAATATTCATACGTATCAATAACATAGTGAAGAAGATAAACGATAGTCGACTCAAAGTAGACATTTAAGAGAGAATTATTGATGATGAAATGAATCCAATATCTTTCGAAATCTGGCTATACCTACATCTGTACACCGAATCAAGCAAGGCAACATAATATATACTGTGGAAAATCTATACAAGATTAAATTTAAAACAATGTTTGTTATAGAAACCCATTAGAAATGTCATTATTGACTAGATATTATAAGTAAGATCAGAGAAAATTATTAATGATTTGACATATCTTTCACATTAAGTTGTATACAAATTAAATTCTTGTAGTTGCATAGATCTGCTCGCAGCTGTCATCCATGCTGACTATGAGCAAATTAAGTATAAGTTTCAACTGATATAAAAGAACTTACACATATAAATTCCTGCAAAATTGAACAAGAGCTCCTGATTCACAGGCTTATTTTTTTTGTTCTAAATTGTAACCCATCATAGTGTATGACAGTTTTCTTTGGGTTAAAATTGGTGGTTGGTTTTAACTTTGTGTCAAAAACAGTAGAATATGTATTTTTCATGTAGGTAATACTAATTAGGCTGAACATTTATCTTGCACGCAACTTAATATATGGTTACAGAAAGCCTCATGTTATTTCAAATGTTACATAAAACTGAGCTGCGGCTAAGCTCAATTTTATGTAATTTTTTTAAATTAAAAATAATTCAGAATAAAATCTTATAAACAGTATATTTACCTGTTTAACAATCCTTTAAACATGATGATGATATGATGTAATAATCCTTTATAATATTATAATCTCCAAATAAAAAAGTGAGTAATACTTATGTCAGAAAAAAAATATTCATAATTATAATTTTTTAATTAAGATTATTATTTGATCATATTTTCTTTTTAATGTTATTGATAAAATTTACACCCCTGTCTTCATAAATTGTTATCTCTCTCTCTCCATCCCATGATTGCCTGGAAGAAATCACTTTAAGCGATAAGGCCGCCAATTGTTACATTATTTTGTTAAACTGTTTTAAATTTGTATACCTATATAACTTGTGTAATGTTAACAATAAAGAATTTTCTATTCTATTCTCTATAATGGTATTATTAATATAGTTTTGGTGAACTTCCTAAACATAAATGAGCATATGCTCACTAGTAATGCAAGTAATTCTTAAATTCACAAAACCTGCTGGTTATCTGGTAGTTAAATTGGTTTTAGCAGACGCCCAGACTGTGAGTGTTTATGGGTTTAAATCCCACCTCAAGCACTAATTGCTTGAAGTGGGTTTTTTAATTATTTTCCTTTAAGATAAATATCAATATAGTATTGCAAATGCAAAAGTGATCAGAAAAAATAATGATAAATTAATTAATTTGTAAACAAGGACTTTTTCAGTGCCATTTTTATTGGAATTCCACAATGCTTGTAAATACACACTTTTAAGTTTTCCTGTAAAAATACTACAATAGTTTACTTTTTTCAATACAAAATATTCAAAAATTCATGTTTTTATAATCATAGATAAGTTTACTTAAAGCCAAAAGCCCCTACAATCTAATAATGATTTTTACGATGTTCCTATTTACAATGATTGTTTATAATTATGTAAAGTTTTAACAGAAATATAATTTTTCAATTTTAATTTACATTACATGCCTCAACTAGGTGGACCTTATTTATGTTAAGAATCTACATAATATGAATTCAACATTTCAAATTCATAGAGGAATGAAAACCTATTAATTTATCTATAAAATGTAAGTTTTTAATAAAAAATAATAATTTAAGATTAATAATCAAGATATAATTTATTTTATTTTTAAAGTCTGCCAACATTTTTACATATCAATAAGCAACCACAAAATTACAGAACTATCTATAACAAATAGATGAAATGGTGTACATAAAAAGTTTATTAAACATATGCATGCACTATCACACTTGTTTATCTAGCTCCATAGTTTTCGATTTCATTTTTTTTCTAATCATTTTACATAATTTATATCACATGGATTGCTATGTTCTCATGAGGTAGATGAGGAATCTGGTGTTTGATACCCAGATTTTGTATATTTACTTCAGACGTCAGGGTGCTCATTGAAAGTATCCTTGTATCTTTGTGAAATAAATAATATTGGATAGAAAATTTTATATGCTTGAAGTGCTAGACAGTTAAAGATTAAAATTTTTTGGTACCTTAATATAAGGTATTTTTATAAATAATTAATGATAAAGCAAACATATCAATGGATTTACACAACTTATTATGTTCTTTACAGTCTATTGATAACTCACTCACAAACTCTTAAAATGTAGGAATTAAAAGTCACAGTGGATTGGAGTATTTAATATATTTCACGTTGTAAATACATAAAAGTCAGATGAGAGTAAAGAAGAGAGTGACATAAAAACAATAAACAGTGTATAAAATACTAATTCAAAAAGGTATACGAAAAGATGCCAGTGTCTGATTAATATAGAAAAAGGTTTTATCTACACCTCCCCGTAATCAGGACACTTATGTACACCCTTTATATAAACACACTGTATGTACAAAAACACTATAATATCAAAAGTACCTTAACATGATGCCCTAACCTAGTTAACCTAATAACACAAAACAAATAACACTAAACTAATCCTAAATTAGTTAGGCACATATAGTGTCTCAGCTTAGGCAGTGGCTTTGTGAGAATGTCTGCTGTTTGGTGAGCTGATGGTATGAATGACACATTGACTTGTTTAGTGGATATAGACTCACAAACAAAATGATGTCTAATATCAATATGTTTTGTGCGGGCGTGATGCGTGTTGTTTTTTGTTAATTTGATGGCACTTTGATTGTCACAATTAATGGTGATGGGTGACGAAAAGCAAAAGATGTCGCTTAGTAATGAGCGAATGTAGATGGCTTCCTTACAGGCTTCACTTAGAGCCATGTACTCAGCTTCTGTTGTTTATGTTGCAACGGTTCTCTGTTTACGTGATTCCCATGACACTGCTGAACCACACATTTGGAAAACATATCCTGTATAGGATCGTCTGTCCACCAGATTACCACCATGATCGGCATCAGCAAATCCGATTAGATCACCACTATTGTTATAGGTCAGTTTCCTATTTTTTATAGCCTTCAGGTACCGATGAACACGTTTCGCAGCTCTCCAATGTACCGAGATAAAACTTCTTCTATACAAACACTACAAATACCTATGTTTGCCGAAGTTACTTTTGTAGGGCAAAATGTTTTTAATTATCAATTCTGAAGATGGATCAAGGTATTTTATTTCACTCAGCAATTGGGGGTACCTAATTGCACCTCTTAAAATTTTAAATAATATAAATTGTTTCACATCTATCATTAAACGCTAACTATCGATCGTCAAAAAGTAGAAATTTGCAACTTTTTAGAAATCGTTAATTTTGACAGATGAAACGTTCGGATTTAGTAACGTTTCAGTAGCGTTTCGATCCAACGAAGTGTCAAAATTTTAGTGGAATAAGGGCCGACGATCGACTCAAGTATATGGACGTAGTTATGCAAACCAGCCACATGATGTCAGTTTTGAGAAAAATGGGTTTCTTGTTTTAAGTGTTAATTGTTTGTAGAATATATTTTATTTTATTTATTTATCAAGAAATTTTGTGAATTTACAACATTTGAGTTTAATTGCAACACTTTTAGGCTTCTCTGCACATAATTCGATTTTGACAGATTTGTGGGTTGGTTCCGGTTTGCATGACTACATCTGTATAGTTCTATGTTCGATTGAGCGAGTAGAATACCGTTTACAGTTTCTGTTGATCGATAGTTAGCTAAACTAAAATAGAACCGGAACTGTATCGTTTGACGCCATTTTGACACCGAGTAGAATAGGAAAACCACTAAAAGTTGTAGTTTCGTTCGGTTTCGTTCCGTTTTCGATTCGATTTAAACAAAATTTATTTAGTAGAATTGGCCCCCTGACAAGCAAAGCGGAGTAAGTATAAAATACATGATAAATTCATGTATTAACTAATCGACTTCAAAATAAAAGTATGTTCTCAGTTTCACCTGTGTGCATTTATATATGTATGTTTGTGCCCGATTATCTCGCGTTTGATTGAACCGATTTTGATGCGATTTTCAGCGTAGTATTTGTCAGATTTAAAAGAAGGTTTTAGGTATATTAGCCGACTAACTGAGTTTCGCACTTTAACACGGTTTTCGGAGAAGTATTTTAAGTGTTATCTATTATATAAAAAATATCATTATTATTAAAAAACTAACCGACTTCAAGCTTAAAAAGGTGAAAAATAATACGTATCACAAAAGCGATTTATTCAAGAAAATTCTATTGAAGTCGTCTATCATTTAATTAATAACCTTTAGAAAACCTCCGCCGCTTTTGAGAAAAGTATTTCTTTTCACTATTTGTAAGTTTGAAGGCAGTTTTTTTTTAAGTTTTTAATATTATAATATATTTCTAATTCTTATACACCAAATTACTTAAAGTATGAGTCCCTATATCACTCTAACGCTCATGTAGTCAACTTCGTTCTTTGGATTCTTTCTCGCTATTCACTTTTATTTATCACACTCATCTTCAATCGATTTGACAACAGCCTCTCCGACTCCATCAGGAAATACCCTAATAAATTGATTTAAAAAGTCCACACCTTTCATTTGCAACGCTTGTCACAAATAATATTCAGTAGGTATATACGTATTTATATTATATTCGCATTATATATGTTTATGTAGGTAACAATGTATAAATATTTTATTCATGTTATATTTTGTAATACGTTTCACATCGGTTTTTTTAGGTATTATATTACAGTGAAAATGTGGGGCCATAAATTACATCTAAAGAATTTCATTATTTTTTCCTTATGAAAAGAGTATAATTACAACAAGAAATGCACAAACTAATTGAATATCAGCAGAAAAAATTGTTATTTATTTATCTATCGATAAAAAAATATATAAATTTACATTTTAACTTTAAAAAAAGATGATAATATAATATAATTTTCTCAATTTTAAAACAGCCTATATCAAGGTCTTTTCTTTGTAACAATCACATTAAAACTTACTATTTTGGGTGTACGCGTCCTTCAAAATAACTTTTCATAGTTTCGGTTCAAAAATCCAGTAATCGTAGCAAGATGAATAAAAATTCACACTCGCAGAACGGAAACTTTTATTTCTATTCAAATTTCATAGATAAAAAATGACAGAAACATTTTACTAACGTGATGTAATTCGCCATAACGCCATCTAGATGTCAAAATTTCTAATAATTGCAACAACTATGCATCTCGTACACAGTACCAACATAATAAGTAACACAGAATAATGACAAAAGGACTATTTTCGTTCGATATATTGGTAACTGCCTTTTTAACTTGATGATTTCATTGTTTTGTTAACATCAGGCACGTAAACAGTGATATCTTGTGCAGGTTGGTCTGCCATTATCAGCCAAGTGGATGCACTAGCGCCATTCTTATATGCCTCCAACATTCCACGCACTGCAGACTCGAGCCTTAAAGAGTAAATATTATTTATCACAAAATATCGACAATCCTTTAATTTTTAAAACCATTAATTTGCATTCATAATAAGCATAATTGCAATCTAAATACGTTTTGTGCTTAGATACATTTATTTATTTTCTCTGTCTAGATCTACAGATTCAGAGAATGCTTTCTGATCATGGAAAGCATTCCCTGTATCTGTAGATCTAGTCCTTCTAAAATATCTATTCCTTAATTACTCAGGTTCCCTTGTTTCAAAATACGCAAATATTGTATACATCTTACTTTTGCTTAATTGTATTATTAAAATATTCCGTCAACAGCTCCAACACTTCAGGGTCAAATACACCATATTTGCTTTCATGTAACAATGAAGTGTTGGTACATCCAAAACATATAATTAAAACTCGAACACCTGTCCTAGAATAGGTAGGTTCCATCTGAAAAAAAAATCAAGTCTTAGTAAAAATCTTCTTATCAATTCACTTCACGTGTTGTCTAAACCTTGTCATTTGCCCTGGTTTTTTTGATCTTTACCAAGTAAATAAAGAGTACTCTCTATATTATCATTAATAGTTTGCTACAAAATCTGCTTTATTAAACATTATTCAACGTCCAAATAAAAAATTGTATCATCACTAAAAACCTTATCTGAAGTAAGACGATAATTTCTAGATCTTTAAAATTAATACCATCATCGATCCAAATTGATCGATGATGCTGCAATTCAAAGTATTTATTTACTGTGTTATGTATACACCTATACATTGAAATGTTCAACAATCTTTAAAGTCCATTAATATTTCACCATTTTTCTGCAATATCAATAGCAACGGCAAAATCTTAGGAATATCATGTTTAAAGAAGTTTTCGTCTATTAATTTCTATAGCTTCAGAAAGGTTTTGTGAAAGTAGTAAATTAGCATTCTTATATGAATACTTAACAAATAAATTATCCCTGAAAAGCAAACTGCATTCTATTTTTGACGACGCCAAAACTACCACAGATGAAAAATACATTTTCTGGTATAAGTGAAACTCCAAGAAAGTAAATCAAGATTCTTATTAATAAATAATCCAACGCAAAGAGAAAAAATATAATAAATTTGGTCAAATTGCATAACTTTTTAACCTTTACTATTTCATTGACTGTAATTACCATTACAACAGCACGCCCGGTTTGAGCTTATACTCACTAGATTTATTTCTGTGTTATACTCCGTACATTAGATTAAGGAATCCAACTTGATGATGAAAAGAGGAAGTCACATGAAATGTTACTTACACCTAGACACTGACTGAACTGCAAGACAGCACTTTTAGTTGCACTGTAGACAGGGAGAGGACAGCTTTTCCCCAACGCTGCTATAGACGATATATTAATAATAGTACCTCCTTTACCGTTCCGGTCTTTACGCATGAGCTCATATGCTTTCAATGAGCTGTTTATTAAAGCTATCTGAAAACAAGTATGAAGTTAGCTATAACTCTAAACAAATATATTATTATTTGGGCGATCATTTGAAATTCAGAGTTATTAATATATTATTTTTTGTAAAGTTTAACCTTAAATTTTGGATACAGTTTAATACGCTAGTAATATATCAAATTTCAAACGAAGCTACACGTTTTAGTTTCTGTCGATTATAGTTCCTCATGGCTCCCTATGTAAAACTTGCGATCACAAATTTTTATGGCGCTAATATGTGATAGTTTATAGTAGTATATGGTTTAAAGAGCGTGCTCTCAATTAAATTAAGTGAAGGAGAAATTGAAATAGTAGGTTAATCGTATTGTATTAAGTTTGAATTGTCTATTTACTAGATAATATAACATAAAATATTAATAAAATAAAGAATAATGCTAGAAAATTCATCGTTCCCAGGTATCTCGAGACGGGATAGAGCCATTATTAATATAGCATTGTGTGTTCAAAATTTGATCTTAACAGAAAGTCTAAAATATTTCTTCCGGCAGTTGGGTGGATTGCCTGAACTCACTTGCAGCGAAAGTAATGAATGCTTGAGAAATTTGTCAGTCGGTTGGGATCATCTAACTCTCTAGTCATTATTCTAACCATTGGTCACGGTGATATTTCATTTTTCAAATGTTATTTGGTGGATAAACTTGGGATAAATTACTAAGTTGGTAACACTGCTGTCAAATTCATAGCTTCATACAATAAGATATTTTGTTTCATTTTAACATTTCGATGTTCTTTAATAACGATATGTGAAAATATTAAAATGAAACGACATATCACCACAACATTGCTAAGATGTCATGTCCTATGGCTAGAGAGTAAGGCGGTGCATCCCTGTTTGGTACCCAGCTCATTTTTTACTTTTTTAATTTCTTACCTACTAGAAAAAGTAAATTCGCGATAGATTTCGATAGTACACGGGTCACGGGTCAGCCCATGGCCATGGCCGGTGTAAACGTCGGGAAATATAGGTAGGTGAAAAACCTAACTATCGAATTCTATCGCGTTAATACCCGTCTTATACAATCTAATATAATGCAATACAAAAGTTTAAAAGTTCATAAAGTAAATTCTCGTTTCTCACTTTTTTATTGTAAATTTCTTTTTTTATATTATTCGATATAACTGATTTGCCCGCTATTAATCTTACTTGCAATTTTAATGTTTTTCATTACTAAAACATTCTTATCGCTCTATGACTGAACAATAACACATACCTACACCACTTGACTACAATGTTTCGTAAAAGAATAGCTGATAATGTATATTTACTTAAGATTATATATTGTCAAGTTGACTGTGAAGCTACAATGCTTTGTTAAATATCATTAAATTTTCAGTCACAACAAGATCGGAGAGATATTACCTACCAATAGGAGTTCGTTCGTCATCTACTAATTATAGGCAGAATAGCTTTATTGTTAGGGACAGCATAAGCTTAAATATGATGCTTCTCGGTAAGGGTATAACGTTGAAATCTTCGATTGCAACATAAATTCCTTTACACCTTTTCGATTGCAATAAAAAATTAACATTTACTCTCTCGTTAATTTATACTGCAGGTATGATTATATATTTGATAATGTAATTCGTGTGCAAAACAACTAATTAGTTCTAAGCTGTATCTATATGCGGAAACCTATATTTGACTTATGTTTATTACGCTTGTAATCTATGTTATTTGTATAGCTGTTGATTTAACAAGATAAATAAGTAAATAAATAATTGTGACATAATAATAGAAGGTAGTTTTACATAGTAGAAGCGATTTCATGGTTACGTTTTACAGGCAATTAAAACTGATAACAAAAAAAAAAAACTACAGCAATAATAATAAAAAAAAATAACACGAAACTCTTTCAAGTTCATAGTATTAAACATTACAGTATTAAAATGTATGTACATAAATGCGTCATTACGAAAACATATGTTTTTAATTCAATTTAAAAGCGAAATAACTTACACGAAATTAAGTGGCAGAGTATCGTCAAAAGACTCCAAATCAGTTCTAGTAATTTTAATGTAATAATCGCATCTTGATAGAATCTCAACAAGAAGAAGTTCGAGAGGTATTATAGGTATCATTTATCCTGAATCTGTCACCATTGATGTGTGTGGAAGATATTGCATTAATATTAATGGACTTCAGGTATATATACCGTGGCAAAATGCAAGTTGTTGAGATTCTATTGAGATGCGGTTATTACCTAAACATTGGGATTTCCCATCCATCTCTTGCGATTTCGCACGATTTTTGCAATTTTATAGGAACGTATGGTAAAGTTTTAAACTTTCGCGTTGCATTATATTAGATTGTATGAAACAGGTATAAACGTGATAGATTGATAGTTAGGTGTTTTACCTGCCTATATTTCCCGACATTTCGACCGGGTTACACAGGTCGTGGTCACGGCCTGACTGTTGCTACGATACTCCGTCTCCTCTGCCGCCAGATAAACAAACAAACAAATCGGCAATTTTAGAACATCTACTGGAAAGTGGCATAAACCACTGGATTGAATTCCATCGTAAACGGGTGCTTTTCGCGGGGCGCTATTTCTATTCGCGGATTGTGCGTGAGGCAATTGTAATTAAATAAAACATCCCAGCAATTTCAATCGTGAAGATGGTTTTAAATTGTCAACATTTTGGAATCCAGTGATAAAAAACTTTTCGCGGTTGCCGGACTACCATAATACGGCTGCGATACAGAATAGGGATTCTGTTAGTGTTGTATGTGATGGTACCTGGGGAAAAAACTGGACGGTGGAAGTGGATTCCACTTCAGAGGAGACAGAGCATTGTAACAACAGTCAGCCCGTGACCACGGCCAATGTAACCTGGTCGAAACGTCGGGAAATATAAGTAGATGAAAAACCTATCAATCAATCTATCTCGTTAATACCCGTTTCAAACAATCTAATTAGAGCCTTCAATCGTCATTAAACCTAAAGATCGTTTATCCAACTGGGTGTGAGTGACAAAACATATCTAAGACAATATAAATACATAAATATTGTAAAATCTTGAACAACCCTCAACATATAACAATCATCACTGAACACAGTGAAACACAGAATACGTCAGATTATATAAATCTCTCAAATTTCTTCATTCAATTTCAAACCATAATGATTTGTAGGTAGAGTTTAAAATCAACCGCGCATATTTGACATATTGTGTGTGGTATATAACCTAACATGCAAGCGTGTGTACATCAATTAACATTGTTGAAAGATGCTCTTACCACATTGACTTGGATAGCTTTAACATATACATTTTTACTGTCGTTCATAATTCCAGCATTATTGATGATAACATCGATGTATCCAAAACGTTGTACTACATCATCGAATGCTGTATTTAGATCATCTGTAGTGACGTCACACTTGTAAAACTTCACCTTGTCCATCCCATATTTCGCTGTCAAGTCCAATTCAAGGGATTTTCCGTTTTCTTCGTCTATGTCTAATATTGCAATATGCTGAAATTATGGCGCACAAATATCAATCTACCGAATAAACGTTATTTTTCCCCTAAAACCGATAATATATATTAATAATGTCTATTTTAAAATTGATAATTGATGGAAAAATACACAGGAAAACATGGAGAGGAAGAAGGAGGATTTAATGGCTCGATAATAAAAGAAATCTAATATTAATGACGAAGTCACTCTGTCTAGGATGGCGAATAGTTCTTAGTCAGACTCTCAGAATGTACTCCATAGTACATTTTGCTGAGGTGGTCGCCGATAGTCGTAAGCGTATGGCATATGAAAAAGAAGAAAACCGAGGTCAAAGATTACAAAATTGAAGCAGTCGTGTAACTATTAAACTGTCAGTTAAAAACATACGTAGAACGTGTCGAGAAAACATTAGTGTTAGACATAGGTGTTCCATTTTTATAGTGAGGAACCCTAAATTGAAAGCTATGTGGTAGTATAGATGACAACATGCATTGATAGAAAGTGGTAAAAGTGAAACAGAAAGAGAAGCATTCATAGCGTAAGGGAGACCTAGGGGCTTCAAACAGAGATGAGTTGAACAACTCTGATTTCTCGAAATTTTAAAACTGTGAGCTAGTTGGTATCGTAGCTACTACCATTTTACTACCAATCAAACAATCGATATGCTATGATGCCAACTTAAAAAAGTTATTGCAATTCACCTCTGTTTTGAAACGCCTCGGTCTTTATGAGTGCATTTATATCGATCTTGGAATAACCATTTTCTGATATGGTGTAGTCATTAATAAAAACCAGCCAAGTACTAGTCGAGACTCGCGCACGTAGTGTTCCGTAACATTATCTATGAAAAACGCAAAAACACGTTTATTGTATGGGAGCCCCCTTAAATATTTATTTTATAGCATTTGTTCTTACAGCGGCAACAGAAATACATCATCTGTAAAATTGTATTGGCTATTTATAGACAGACGGAAGGACAGACAGACAGACGAACAGCGAAGTTTTAGTAATAGTTTCCCGTTTTACCCATTTCATGTGGAAACCTAAAATTACTCATGCAACATATGTGAATGATGTTGATGAGGCTCGTATCGGGTTGGCACAAAAGTAATGAGACACTTGGTTTAAGTTTTTACTTTTTTATTATTATTACAATAAAAAAAGTTTAGTCAATGATGTAATTACCATTAGTATCTAAGACTTCTTGCCAACGATCTGGCAAAGTTTGGATGCCTTTTACCCAGAACTCTGATGGCTGTGCCTCGAAAAAGTTGTTCAACTCCGCCTCTACGTCAGAGAAACCATTAAATTGTTTACCCCGCAAATGCTGTTTCAGGGCTCTAAACAAATAATAGTCTGATGGGGCGAGGTCTGGGGAATAAGGTGGGTGGGGTATCGTCTCCCAGCCCAAGTTCTCCAACTGCCGGCGAACCACAGATGCGACGTGAGGTCGAGCGTTATCGTGCAGTAAAACTACATTGACTCGTCTTCGTCGTTTTTTCTTGATAGCGGCAGATAATTTGGTAAGCTGGGTTGAATATTTGTCAGCGTTTATAGTTTCATTGTGTAATAGCTCATAAAACAGTATGCCTTGCACATCCCAGAAACAGCAAAGCAGAATTTTTCGGCGGTTCTTTTGACTCGGCTTCGGTTGAGTTGGTGGCGTTTCTTCTCGAGGCAGCCAAAAAGCACGACGTGTATCGTTCTCGTAATAAATCCATGATTCATCTCTAGTAACCAGATCTGACAAAAACACTTTACGTCGGGGTCGCAACAAAAGTGACTGACAGATAGCGACATGGACTGCACGACTGGCGTCTGTAAGGATGTGCGGTACCCACCGAGCCAAAACTTTTCGATAACCAAGCTCATGCAGATGGTGTTCCACGACGTGGTGACTGCATTTAAGTGCTTCCGCTAATTCACGAGTGGTAGCATCCGGATTCAACTGCAGTTCGCGGCGCAAATCGTCATCATTCACTGCGGGTGGTCGCCCTGAGCGTGGCTGATTTTCAAGGCTCCTGTCTCCTGATTTAAAACGGTCAAACCATCGGGACACCGTCGCATGGCTTGTACTTCCAGCGCCTAATGCATTGTTGATATTGTCAGCCGCAGCCCGCGCACTGTGGCCTAACAAGTACTCGTATAAGTATAGTGTTCGAACTTGTCGCTCGTCCATTTTTTTTCAAACTGACTAAACAAATCGCGAACGCGGCTTTATATACCCTACACCAGAAGTACCTAGAATGTTCTACAACATTCTAGAATATTATCGAAAAAATTGATTTTAAAAAGGAAATGTTGTAGATTTTTCTAGTGTGTCTCATTACTTTTGTGCCAACCCTATATATACAAAAAAGGTGAAAAAAAATGTGTAAGTAACTTTTTTTTTATTTTTCTTATGCAAATTTATATTGAAATACAAACACTCGAAAGTACAAGTCTATAATAGGATGTATGAAAATACACAACACTTGGATTTCACCAGCTATACAAATTTGACATTCATAAGAGCTTAAACGCATCATTAAACCTTAATGGGCGTTTGTGCAACTGACCGTATAGAATTAAATTATTCACATTGTCACTGACATTGTGCTTCAGATTTAGCGTCCCACGACTGCACTAAAAAGGGTGACAAGTTCAGAATTTGCCAGCTAGGGCTGACGCTGATATTATTGCATATCTTACTTTTGCACCTTCCTCAACGAAGGCTTGAACTGCACCAGCCCCTATACCAGCCGCTCCACCAGTGACCAAAAACACTTTATCTCTAACGTCGTACATTTCCACTAAACACAACTATCGTTAGGGTTTCTTAACTACCAATGAAAAAATATTCTATATAACCTCTACCTTATTTTAGTACCTTAGATAATAGTTTTATGTCGGTCACGAATATTCAACAAAAACCTATGGTTATCTTTTTTATAATAGTACATTACAGATGAGTACGACACCTTTGCATTACTTACTGCAGTGGTTCATAACATATCCACAGGCCACTAGTAGTCTATGGATGCCTTCCAAGTGGTCCGTGAATTGGAAGTTTTAATTATAGATACACGATACTTTATTTGGGTACTGCATGTATCCTGTGGTATTACATATTTAAGTAGGTGGTCTATGGTAAGATTGAATTTGTCCAATGATCCTTAACGACTAAAGGTTCAAGAACCACTAATTTCATACGTTTATTTCACTCATTCGGGGTAGTGTCGTAAGGTTCATCATGGAAATGTCATCAGTGCACATCTTGGAACCCGAGTATACTGAACTAATTCCTGCAAAACCTTTTGAAGTGTGCTTTTTATTTAATTTTACAGAGTAGGGTCAGAGCTTTATATCTGTCCTCTACATAATCAAAAGGGTTTAGCATCCAATCACGCTCGAAAGTGCTCCGGCTACGTGAAAATATTACCAGTAATGCCTTTTTTCACAACTGCTCAAATAAGGAGTAGTATTAAGGTATGTACATATTTTTTATATCACCATAGCTTTTGAAAAACATAACGGATATATATAAAATAGTGGATGTATGATGCCACTAAAAAAATATAGTAAAACGGATATTTTTGGGATATTTTACAAGTTACGCTCTTTCATTTGATATCTATATTGGATGGGTTGTACAGAAATATGAACGCCGCCATTTTGTTACGGCAGCCATTTTGGATCAACAGTAATGCCGATGACATATTATTGGATTGTCATCAGAACTAAAGGTATATTTCAAATTTCAGCTCAAACGGACACTGGGAAGTGTGTGAAATTTAAATTGCAAGATTGATTACATAAAGATAAACATCGGCTGAAACTAAATAAAAGGTTGTAATAATAATAAATAGTTTAAAAATAAAAAACAAGACGATAAAAATTTAACTAAAAAGGTCTTTTAGTTTTATTTTTAAATAGAATATCTCTTTTAATACTAATACTGTGCTTTGGGCTTTTCTGAATTATTTCAGTGATTTATATTTTTCAAGCAACAATCTGATGAGAAAATCCTAACGAATATTCCATTCTTAACCAAATACAATTAAAAAAATCACTTAATCATGACTAAAATATTATATCATACTTGGACTACTATAAAAAAACTGTTAATCTATTTTTCAGCATTTTTTTTCAAATCCTTACAAAAGTAGACAAAAGCACATTTATTTATCTAAATAAATGTGACTTTGTCTACTTTTATCTAAAGAAGTGTAACTTTGTCTACTTTGTCGGTAAAGTATAGGGTAACTTTGTCTACTTTTGTCGGTAAAATATAATAATCAAAAATGTTCATTCTAAAATATAAATTATTATTTAAGATTTATCTACAAAATTATTATAAAACTCGTTGGATAGAACGATGCATAGTATTCGTAGACTGTGAAGGTCAGTGGTAGATAACCTTTTCTATGTAAATATGTAATCCTAACATTGAGCACATTGGCCTTATTGCTATACATTTAGTGTGGTAACTTATTATAATGATTAAGTATACTATTTAAATGTATACAGTATCTACCATATTCTTTTTACTCATAATTCTCGTTCCAATGATTCAAGGGGATTCAGGTGCTGGATTTGGAGCAGTCCCTGTTAATCCCACGTCCTTCTCCCAAGAGTGTGGGTGCATCGTAGGGGATTTATTACTGTCAGGCAGCAGGAAAAGTGCAGAAAGCATTACGTCAATAAAGAGTTTTCGCTATGGATGGAATCGAAGCATATATGGAGAATAGGCTCATGCCACTACCACACTACCATGTCCAGTGCTATAGTTGATGTATCTTATTGTGTTAGATGTATCAGTAATCAACGGGTTGACGTTCCATTTGAAGCACGGAGGAGTTTGAGATGGTGAATCATTGGTCACTCATCCCTTGATCAACCCCTGAGAAAGCGAACGCGCTAACCACTGCGCTATTGGAATAGATTATTTTACTCATCACATACATACTCACCTTTTGGTAGGTATATCACGGCCGATTTGTTTCGAAACTACTTTACCAATTAAGCTATTTGTGACACATATGTAAATCGGTGACCTAGTGACGCCGAAGGTCATTTTAAATTACGCATATATAAGGTTGGATAGTTGGTCTCACAAAGAGATGGGTAATAAATTAATCGACTTGGTTTACGTTGATTTCATAACTTTTTACGACGGACGAATTGCGTTGTGAGACTTGTGAAGTTTTGTACACATTATTTTTGGGTGTGGTATGGGTTTATTTTATTTATAGCCATCTCCAAAAGCGTCCAGCTATTTAAGGTCAATTAAAATTACATATGTTAATATCAATTGAGTTGTTTAATAATAAAAATTTATCATGCTCTATCCACCTCCTTATCTCTGGAAAGCCTTAAATTCCGGAAAATAAATTATTTATTATGTCACAGGAAAAGAATTTATAATGTCAAAAAAGTAATTACTCTGCAACGTATTAACTTTATATATTTCAAAAACTTGTTTCGTAATATTTAAGCTAAGAATAATCCAGCGCCGTTACATGTGCCTCTTACTATAAATGATATTCCTTTACAACAAAAGACAAGCGAGAATATTTGGGTCTCTGTACATGGACAAACAAATTACCATCATTACGCTATTACTTGTGAAACATTGCGCGGTGCATACCACATAAATTACAATACACACTATATAATGTATTAGTGATACCGTACATATTCTATCCTATCGAAGTTTGGGGTAGTTCGGCAAAAACTAAATTTGCCGAGCCCCAGATCTTACAGAATAAATTAATCAAATTGCTTTTATTATATTTGATTAATTTTGCATTCATAATGCTACACTGAAAAATATTCTAAATGAAAAACGCTTAAAAATCCACTTTGTTCCTGGCCTTCTGAGATGGGATTCGAACCCATCACCTTTCGCAATCCGGGTGACTGCTCTAACAGGACTGACGAATATTTCAAACCCTTTTTAATTTTTTCGCTACTACAGAACGTATTTTTATCAATATTCAGACCATGAACCCAGATAGTCGAAATAAATATTTTAACAAATATTTAAACTTTCGACAAAGATGTAACGGTAGTAGCTTAGCTTCCATATTTTATTTAGAATAATAATGTCCTATAGATATCAATAATTTCATTTTTGTCGAGTTTTTTACTTTCACTTCACCAGCCCTTTTACGTCCCCACTGCAGGGGCTCAGGCCTTCCTTATGGATGGTTAAGGAGGATGGGCCATGACCCTCCACGCTGGCCCAATGCGGATTGGAGGGTATTAACGACTGCAAATGCAGCCGGGACCAACGGCTTAACGTGCCTTCCGAAGCACGGAGTAGCTCGAGATAATAATATTTTGGTCACCCATCCCGTGACCGACCCTTGCGAAAGTTGCTTAACGACTACGATCGCGGGCCGCGGCGCTTATCCACTACGCCACCGAGCTATACAGTTTTTTACGTTTTTGTAATTTTTTATGCGGTTTGTGAATAATTTCCTCTCTCCAGTTGATTGCAAACTTCAATACATCGAAGTTAGAGTTACATTAATTGATAAAATGTTCATATTGTGGTAAACGGACGCCAAGGAGAATCAATAAACAGTACGTTTTCTTTTCCTTTTCGTTAATACGCAATTACAACGAATACATGCATGATCACGCGGATGCTAATTACTAAATCAACATTGAAAATCTAATCGCGCAAGTGTGTTAAACTCATTAAACAATTCACTTTAACTACAATAATACTCAAACTGTCTATCTTATATTAACATCATAAAAAGATAATTATGAATTTAAGCTACATATCGTAGTGTGAAGTTAACAAAATCAATGTTTAAGAAAAAAAACGCATTTATCAACTCAACACACTCAATTTTTGCCTAATAGCATTGATGAATTTTAATTTCGCTTTTCATTAACTGCTTTTGTGGATCACAGGTAAATAGAAAATTAAAATACTCAATATTAGACGTATTCCTGTGAATTCGTTTGCGTAAATTAAGGTCTATATCACCCGCTTTTCATACAAGAACGCAGTTTCAGGTTACTCATTTGGTCGTGACACTTTTATCTACATAGATCTACTTCTTCCAGTATATATCACACTCTCGTGTTATCTGTTTCGTAAATAGAATTTTGCTAATCCTCTCGATTGAGGCAAACCATTTAGGCATCCTTTTTTTATCTTCCATTAACTAAGCCGCAGGAAAAAAGCACATTGGTTGAAAACTTAATTAATGAAATGATTTAAATTAAAAAGCAGCACTTTATACTTGGCGTGGCCACATATCAATACAAAAATATATTCAATATTGGCGACAGGAAATCGATTCGCACTGCTATTATAATTTTTTTTTAGGAAAAAATTATTTTGTGTTCGATAATAATTAGATGATTGTGAATAGGTATCAAATTATAATCGAACACAAATTGATTTTCCTTTAGGATTTATGTGGAGTTATTTACAGAAAAATCCATTCAAATACATTTGTACTCAATACGATTCGTTTCTTACTAGATATCGTTTGTGCTAAATATACTGATAAGAGATGCACCAATAATAAATAAATATAGTTCAATTCATTTGTGCGTGCAGCGCTGTTGCGTGAGCTTGTTATAATACAGTTTTCGTTTATGTGACAGTGACATTTCAGTCATCGTCCAAGCAACCCGTACTCTTATTGCTTTTTTGCATGGGTACCGAATTGTTCCTCTTTGCTCTCTTTTTGTATTGACAGCAAAACAAAACATTTATTGTGAATCTGAAATGTAAAATATTAGACACTGGGCATTCTGCACTGGGTGTAGTCAGACAACCATCCTAAGGTGCCTTGGCTGACCTGGTTCAGAATTACCGTAAACTAAGTAATGATACGAATAAGCAGTCATATGCCCAGTTGTAGTAAGTAATTGATTATGACAAGTCAGAGATTAACGTTCCTAGAACTAGGTGTTGGATGAATTAGAACGGAAAAGTTAACTCTATACATTTTTAAAACAATCATTGGTAACTAATTAGTAAGGCAGCATAGCTTAAAAATATGTGTTAATGTTAAGTTCGAATTCCCAGATCTATCTCTGAAACACGATTTACACTTTATTATGTAAAGTTTTAAATATTACGAAATAAATATTAATTTATTCTTTATTGAAACACATATAAAAAAAGTTTAGATTATTTAATAGTTGAGTTGAGTTCACACAATTCAGTGAGAATACCATAGGCTTTATTAACAGGGTCAGTTATATTTTTAACAGGTTTTTCTGACGTGGACAACCATATACTTCCATTTTCTCCGAGTTTATAAGCTTCCACTAAAGCCTTTACTGCTGCCTCCGTCCTGAAAACAAATTTTGAATTAACATCACAGTATGTGCCCTGTGACGTTTTAGTATTTATTATTTTAGTACACACCTAGCTTAAAAACTGTTCCACACTGTTACAAACTAGCGTTCCAACCAGTTCCAACAGACGGGACTTTGCTTGTTATAAACCATCTAGACGACAATTATAACACAAATTTGCAATCCAGCGTTCCAACAGAGGCGACTTGTTTATTGCCTAGATGCAGTTGGAAACCAAACGTCGAACACAATCCGCGGTTATAACCAAGTTCTCACCAAAGTCACCTTCATTGCAATGCCTATTTGCAAGCCTGTGAACGGCCTCACTAAGATTTTTGAACATTCCATTTACTTACGTTTGAGTTGGATATAATTTAAAATATTCATCCATTTTTGGTTCCAAACGGCTGTCATAAGAATACATAGTTTCATACAGCGCCGTTTGCGTCACTCCAAAGCAAACGGTCAAAAAACGTATATCAGTACTCTCTTTGATGATATCTAAAGCCTAAAAAATAAAATAAAGTATATAACATTCCTCTCCATTCAAAGGTTGTCTGGTAGAAATCGCTTTCAGCGATAAGAGCGCCATTTATTACACTTTGATGTATTGTTTTGTTTGATAAGTTTATGAAGATATCTGTGGTGTTGACAATAAAGTGTTATTATTATTATTATTATAACTTTGAGGAGCTCGCGGCATAGTGGATAAGCATCGCAGCCCGCGATCATTGTTGCTATGCAACTTTCGCAAGGCTCACGATCACGGGATGGGTAAATAAATTACTATCTCGAGCTACTCCGTGCTTGGGATGGCACGTTAAGCTGTTGCTCCTGGTTGCATTTGCAGTTGTTAACCCGGCGAGCGTAAGGTTGGGTGTGGTACACCCAGACCTAGAAAAATCGATAAATATTTTAATAACGGATTGTTATTACGTTTCCCGCGTCTGAGTAGCTGCGCCAGAGGTGTTGCGGAAGCGTCGGCTACCACTGCTTTAATCGACCGCCGCCCGACAAATGGTGTGTACGAGGTTGAAACTGTCAGCGGGTGCGTGAAACCCACCTTACGGTACTTGTAATAAATTTGAACAAACACATTTCATTTTCTTTTTATTATTTTGGGTATTGTTTTGATTTATTTGCAGGATAAAAATCTAGAATGTCGTACGAAGATTACTAACGAAGATTATTAAGTCTTTTCGAAGAATCTGAAGTCAGTTCTTCTGAGAAATCTGGTAGTGACCCGGAGACGGACTTCGGAAACGAATTCAAGATCATGTGGGTGAATACTCAAAAGAACCACCATTAAAAGTAGCCAAATCTATAAAGAGATATGAAATATGTCCTACAAAAAAAGACCGCATGACTAAATACGTTTGTTACCAATGCAGCCTATGTATCTATGTATGGAACATGCCATTTTCGTCTATGAAAACTGCACAAGATCTCAAGATGAATAAGTATTTTTTTTATTAGTATATGGTTCCAGTATAAGTGTTATTTTGTTGTTATGTTTAGTATATTAGAAGAAAAAATACTTTATGCTGTTTTTATTTTCATTTTTTTGACAAAAAGTGATAAACATGTGCCTTAACTAATAAATATAAGTTCAAATTGTTAATTTCATAAATAAATAATAATAATAAATTGTTTTTATTTATTTCATTCTTAAATAAGTTAAAATAGAAGTAAATATCAGTTTAGTGTTCAGGAAAATAATAATTAAAAATAATAATATATTAAAACCACACAATTACTATCTGGGTGTGCCACACCCACCTGGCGCTTTGTGTTACATATTCTAACCTTGCGCTCGACGGGTTAATTTCCTCCAATCCACATTGGGCCAGCGTGAAGGGTTATGGCCCATAAAATCTATAAGGAAGGCCTGAGCTCGTGTTGTGAAGGCGTAAAAACGGCTGATGATGATAAAAATAACTTTTAACAATAATAAAGTTATGACGCCTTTATGATAAATCCGGAATATTATTTGGTCTTAATTATAACATAATACGCATGTGAGATAAATGTGAAACCAATTACCTAAATACACAAAGCACCACATGACGTAGACCAACTTAGTTATTCTGTAATAAAATCAGACCCGATATCGACAACGAACACAGCGTTTTTACAGCATAAAAGATCTAAGAAATAAACAGTTTCACTGTAGATATAATTACCGCTTCGTAACATAATAGAATGGTATTAAGTTTTTCAGTTTCAGTCTTTTTTCAAATTCATTTCATATTTTCATTTCATATTAACATATAAATGAACCCACAAATATATTGCTTCCTTGATTGCCAATATGAAACCCAACCTAATAATAGAAATATAAAATTACTTACACATAAACTTCTAGTAAATTGTAGTACAGCACTCTTGGTAGAGAAATAAACAGGAAGAAATGGCGATGGATGTAATGCAGCTATCGATGATATATTGATTATAGTTCCGCCTTTGCCACCATCGTCTTTGCGCATCAGTTCCATCGCCTTATACGTACTACTGATTAAAGCTGTCTAAAATTGACAAATTAATTCAAGTTATTGATCTCGAAATAAAAAATTAAATTCTCTCAATAAATATTTATGCAGATTAAAGTAATTATCATTTGGTACTTTGAATAAATTTAAAGATCAAAGATCAAGTCCACATATCAACCAATTATTAGTAAAACTTATCTTTATGTGTAGTATAAATTTTAAGACTTCACAGTTTTGTGTATTGGTTAGTTAACTTTAAACACTTTTATTCGTTACTATTATTACAGGTGTCAAAACGTATTACAAACAACAGGTGGACCCAAAATTATACCTTGTGGTACACCATCAATTTTGAATCTATATTTGTATATGAGTAGCTCGGTGGCGTAGTGGATAAGCGCCGCGGCCCGCGATCGTAATCGTTAAGCAACTTTCGCAAGGGTCGGTCACGGGATGGGTGACCAAAAATTATTATCTCGAGCTACTCCGTGCTTCGGAAGGCACGTTAAGCTGTTGGTCCCGGCTGCATTTGCAGTCGTTAATACCCTCCAATCCGCATTGAGCGTGGAGGGTCATGGCCCATCCTCCTTAACCATCCATAAGGAAGGCCTGAGCCCCTGCAGTGGGGACGTAAAAGGGCTGGTGATATTTGTATCTGCTTACTATAATTATTTTTTTTCATATATTTTTCGTTACCTATTATATTATTCTACTTTACATACCACATTAACATCAATAGCTTTTTTATAGGCCGCCAAACTGTCGTTCATTATACCAGCATTATTAATGACAACATCGATCACTCCCTGATCTTCTTTTACTGCTTTGTAGACACCAAACAGTTCTTCTTCATTCGTGACGTCACACTTATAGAACTTTGTCTTGTTAGTACCGAATTTTGAGTTCAACTCATTTTGTAAATTGACTCCTCTTTCCACCGATACATCCAGAATAGCCACGTGCTATATTTAAAAAAAAATGTATGTAGTTTTTCTTTTATTTTATATAATAATAGTAGAAGAAACATAAATAAGTCATCGTTTATTTTTAGCTTTCGGTGAATCTTTAAATATTTAAGTTACAAAAGTTAAAGTACTTTTTATTTAACAAATTCCAGCTAATGACTGTTTTTCTGGGGCGTTAAGGAATGAAAATTACTATCTTTAATCAATTTTTAATCAAGTCTATCAAAAATTTACAGAATTAAGATTCTTTAATAAGCATAAATATTCATAGCCATGGATACATGCATGAACACGTGGATATAATAATGTCATTTACTGGATCTTTTAAATATATTCATTTTCGTATGGTAAGGAGATAAATGGTGAAGTGGTTTGCTGTGCACAAGCAAAGTAACTTTCGCAAAGGTCGTTCATAGGATGGATGACCAAAAAATTAGTTTGAGCTCTTTTATTCCGGAAGACGTCAGTCCTGGCTACATCTACAATCGTTAACGCCCTCTAATCCACACTATGCCCATGTGAGTTGTAATCTATAGCTCCCTTATATTATTCTATTGAAGAACAAGGACCATGCCCCAGCATTGGGGAAGTTAATAGATTAATGATCACACAATTGATACAATTAATTTAGCCTTGACTCAATATAATTCATATATGAACTCAATATAATAAGTAATTATGAACTTGTAGTTCGTTCATAATATAACTATAAAAAAATGAAAAATTATTACTGACTGAAAAAATATGCTCCACCAAAAAAAAAAACACAAAGCTACACTATTGTTGAGAGGTTGAACCTCTGCTACAAATATTATGGTCCTAGAACTGGTAGATATTTTTCAAGAAAAAACTAGTTCGACGACTTGTAATATGAACCATAAAGATAGACGATAACATCATTGTGATGGTAGAGTTGGGATAATCACAAAAAAGAAGGATTTTTATGACCTTAGACTTTAGATAATTCTATTACCGATCAGTATAGATATTACTATATTTCAGCTATTGAAGAAGTTTGCATAATTCCTAGCAATTATTAAATTTAAAACTATTCTATTCTATTATGAAGTAAACTAAATCAAATAAATCAAAAGAAGTAATTCACTTTTCTTGTCGGAGTTTGTTTCGCCAGTGCTACTCAGGCAAGACTCCCAAATTTGGAACTGGAGTTAGATTACGGTAGCCAGGGGATAATGAATATGTCAAATGTATTTTTTAAATTAATTCAATTTAATAAATGTAAGCGTTGCCAAATATAAAAATTGTTGTATTGCGAATGTTGTGAAGGTAGCTATACTCTTAATTAAAAAGGCAATCAACACCTTAGTCTTATATGAAACTTCAATAAATCTAAATTAAAATGCAATGAAATCGTTTAAAAGATGTTTCATTTACTGGACTAATATTGAAAAATTTTTCACCTACTGAAAACTACGTATATATGTAATTTTGTTACGCGACGAAGTCGCAGATATACAACTAGTTTTTAATAATTTCGTCAACGTATTCATAAAACCGATCTTTAATATTTTTTGTGATAAATAATGCTTTTGAAATGCAAAATTTACAATAATAATTAAATCTATCCAAGTTTATTTTCAATTTGTATCGAGTAATCTATATATATAAAAATGAATCACAAAATGTGTTGGTAAGCGCATAACTCAACAACACCTCGACCAATTTGGCCAAATCTTTTTTTAAAATGTTCGTTGAAGTTCAAGGATGGTTTTTACGGCGAGAAAAAGAATTAGAATTATTGCTGGAAAAACCCTAAAAATAGCCCTTTTCTTTTTCCCATACAAATGATTTGTAACTAAAACGTAGTCAATTTGAGCTTTATTGCTATGGTATAAAGTTCATATTAAATTACAAGCACTCACTGTTGTCTAAGCATGTAGGTGTGTTTCTAACGTCAAAGATCATATCTATCACAAAACAATGTGCGTGTGTGCGTTGGAGCACAGAATACATAGTTGGAGGAGTTTAATGTCGCGTTCCGAAACTCGCGTTTCTTTTGTATTAGTTTCGGCACGCGAGATAAAATGCATCAGTTTCCACGTCATTACATGTATTGCCGGAACATTGATGAAAATACGCTCTGTAGTAGCAAAGCTGTTGGGTCCTAGATAGCTCATTGGTTAGAGCAGTCCCTGGATCGCGAATGGGTTCGAGTCCCATTCCGGGGTACAGGTAGATGGATTCTTCCAGCATTTTTCCCTGAGAATGTTTATATATTTTTTAATTCGAATAGTTTACTTTTATAATGCTGTTGTGTGTAATGTGTTTTTATGATCATAAAAATCTCTTTTTTCTATATTTAATACTATTACTATTAATACATTGCAATAATAATTATGATTCACATGATTAACAATTAAGCGATTACTTACTTTTAAATCCTTATATATGTTTTATTTAATTATTTTTTATTCACAACGCCCTATCACCAGGGTGACGGTTCTGTTCAGGAGAATTTTTTTAAATACGTAGGCAAAAAAACTGCCACATTACAAATCTTTTTGACAGGACGAAGTCTGTCGGGTCAGCTAGTACCAGATAAAAATTTCAACACATGGCGGGATTAAAAGATAAAGTTTGTTTTGCATCACGGTAATTAAACTAGACATAAATGTGATACCTTTTATAGTCCGGTATTAAAAGGTAATGTTTAAATTCTTTTCGCCTCGAATTTGCAATCTAATCTCAAAATGTTTTGTTTGCTACATAATTTCATTATAACCAAAAGATTATAGTACAGTTGGTCTTGCCCATTACTCCATATGTAATATAAAGAACCTAAAGTTAGTAATCGCAAATGGTATAAATTAAATGCGCACGGTAAAAATCTATTACATCATTGGCTGCATAATATTAATTAAATAAAACAACTTTAAACTGTTTCAGTGCGCTCGTTCCGTGTATAGTGTGAGAAACCTGTAAAAGTTCCGAAATGTCATGAAAAAAAGTATCAGCGCGTTGGAACCGTTTAAATTTGTTTCATTTAATGGATAGTACACGTGAAAATATAAGAAATCAGTATGCATAAAACAAAAATAAGATGAATTTAGTAAAACAATCGTAAAGACGATAGAGATCATAGATAAGGTCATGTAAAGCAAAATAAAGCTGCTATAAGGAAAAGTGAATTAGTTCTTATTTTCTTTCACCTACCTATAAATAATTAAAATGTATTCGATGACGTGATTACATACAAAATATAAGTCCATTTTGTCATTGTCGTAAAACTACTTTTATAACATGGTTACAGAATCCGAATTAACCGTTAAATATTACAAAACATATAAACAAAATATGTTTTCCTTAGTTATTTATAAAACGTTTTCACAAATATACATGACATAATACGTTTAAGTGTTCCTATCTGGAATGATATCATTAGATTAAAGCTTCAGTAAACAAAACAATTACGATTGTTTGAGCAAAAACCGTAGGTAATAAAAAAAAATATAAATTATCTAAAGACTCGACACATTATTTCGTTTCGTTTTCTGTCTACGTAAATACGACCATACCACTGAATTTCGTAATCATCTGAAATGGTTGCCCATCCGTGAACGCAGGTTCTTGAGGATAGTATACACTCTCTTCAAAATTCTTTACGATACACATACTCCTAAGTAATGGAAATTTAGGTTTCGATTCTTAGGAGTTGCACATCAAAAAGAACTTCGCTCCAGTTGCAATCTGGTACTTCAAACTCCTGCTCACCATACTCGGTTTGTCTCGGATTCTTTTACCCTCACAGCCATAAAACTTTGGAATGCACTTCCTTTGAGCATCCGGAATGCGTCACAGTTTCGTATTTAAGAGAGAAGTGCGAGAATATTATCTTCAATCAAGTCGTGTGTCCTAATATTATTCACATACTCATAAATCAAGTCATATATATTATTATATTGTATATATGTTTATGTATTTTTTTACGAATTGTAGCTTTATTTGTTTTTTTTTATGATACTGCCTTTTGAATGCTCCGTACATCTTCACCGGTTTGACTGGTAGAGAATGCCTTTTTGGCATTTAGTCCACCTTTTGCTATTTTATAGGCATAAAGATTAAATAAATAAAATTATTTATTACACAACAAATTGCTTATAAAAATGTATAAGAAATTAATGTACTCTAAGGATGTAATATATTTATGCAAATTACAAAATTATGGATAAAATATTTTTCGAAAAATAAACACTAGTTTTCAATACGAATTTTAACTTTAATATGGATTTAATTTAACGTTGCCCCAAAGTCAAATTTTGTCAAAGAAATACAATCATACTCCTGTATAGTATAATTATTTTACTTCTGTCGCCTTAATTATTTTCACAATTAAAAACGGTTAAGTCTAGTTTATGCAAAATAATTGCTACCCAACATTTCTCGTTTGTAATTCCAACAAACCCTTACAAATATCGATATAGTAGTACTTTGATAAGTAAATTTTTATAAATAGATATTTTTTATATGTATTAAATTATGCAAATATACAAATCGCAGATTCAAATAATTATGGATAGAGCTAAAAAAATAAGAAAAAACATTTTATTAAAAAAAACATAAATATGAATTACGTGTATCTATGGGTACCTATAAACAATTATGTACATCATAATATAAAATCAAGATTGTTGAATAAATTTCATAACTTGTTAAAAAAATATTAAAAATATTATACAACAATCAAAAATAATATTATACAACAGATATAAATTCATAATAAACAGATATGTCAAAAAAATAATATTATTGTAGCTAACAATAAAATTTCATGAGTAATGAAACCATGGAGCACACTCAATATGTTGTTCAAACACTAATTTTGAGTTCAAAATTCACTGTAATAAGTATGAAATATTATAAACCTACCTTAGCGTCTTCGGCTACTAGTACTCTAACAGTGCCGGCGCCGATGCCATTTGCAGCGCCAGTGATCAGAAATACTTTATCCTTAACTTCGTACACCATCTTCTCGGTCAAAATGTTACAAACAAATGAGACGATTCACCGCGCTAACGCTCTTTTGAAAGCCTATTTGTACAGCGTTCAGAATAAGTTAGGCTGAGTTTAGACGACGGACATTTTAGCAATCACATATTAAAATCTGCAAATTAACCGATCCCGGTGCCTGGTGGACTTAAGCATGAAACCGGTAGATAGAATTATTGAAATTAATCGGTAATCACCGACAACAAAATATTAATTGAGCACACATCACAGCTTTTCAGCTATTTATTTTTTGTTCCTTGATTTTATTCGGTCAATTTGTTTTTTATTTCTATAATAGTAATAAATTGATGTTCTTACCTAAAATTACATAATAAACAATATTAAAATACATTTTTAAATGTAAAGTCATCTAAAACGGCGCTTGGTAGTAGATTAGACTCCGGCTTTAAAATACTTTATATAATTTAAACTTTCTATGTATTAATTAGCTAGGCTATAATAATACGTTAGAAATCGATTCGCCGATATTGTTGAGATTAATTATAAAGGGGTGCTTTAAAAAAAAAAATTAACGATATCGTAACTCCAATAAATTAATTGTAATGGGAATATAAAAAAAAAAGATTTTATTTTTATTTATAACACTTGAGAAAAATACAGATAAAAATTTAATAAAAAAGTATAGAATAATGACTAATAAAGATTCTTTAATTTTCTGTAAGCTATATCGTATAAAATGTCTCAAGGACACATTATGAGTATCACGATTTTTTTTTCTTATTATTTATGAAAAATGCTTAATTTTTTTTTACTCTGAGAAATGCGTTACGCATACCCGCTTCACCCTGCGCGAGCTCCACGGTTTTTGTGGGAGCTACCCAGGACTTGTTTTTTTAGGACCTAACAAGACTAACGAATTCTTCAACCTCTTGTTACTTTTTTGCTACCACAGAGCGTATTTTCATCAATGTTCAGGCAATCCATCCAAACAACCGAAATAAATATTTTTCTTTCAGTATGGCATTATGAATACAAAGTGTATCGAATATAATAATATTTCTTTCTTGTTTATATAAATACACAATAAGTTATAAACTCCTTATATCCGATTAGATTATACCTAGACCAGAAATATTCAATTCCTTGTTTTTAAAGCTAAAATATTTAACGATAAAAACAATCAACTTATAATTGTACACATAGTATAAAATAACGTCGCTTCCCGCTATCTATACACTGATTGCATCAATATACGACAATATATTGGAGAATAGGAACACACGGGCGAAGCTCCGGCTGAAACCGAGTTTTTTTGTATAATAATTGGTTGGTTATCTATAAGTAAGGTGATTTATCTAAATTCCACCGTCTAAACGCAGCCTAAGCCTAATAGAGATGACTAGCACAAATATCACTGAAATTAGTGTAGGTACATAGAGCAGAGGGCCAATTCTACTAAATAAATTTTGTTTAAATCGAATCGAAAACGGAACGAAACCGAACGAAACTACAACTTTTAGTGGTTTTCCTATTCTACTCGGTGTCAAAATGGCGTCAAACGATACAGTTCCGGTTCTATTTTAGTTTAGCTAACTATCGATCAACAGAAACTGTAAACGGTATTCTACTCGCTCAATCGAACATAGAACTATATAGATGTAGTTATGCAAACCGGAACCAACCCACAAATCTGTCAAAATCGAATTATGTGCAGAGAAGCCTAAAAGTGTTGCAATTAAACTCAAATGTTGTAAATTCACAAAATTTCTTGATAAATAAATAAAATAAAATAAATTCTACAAACAATTATTACTAAAAACAAGAAACCCATTTTTCTAAAAACTGACATCATGTGGCTGGTTTGCATAACTACGTCCATATACTTGAGTCGATCGTCGGCCCTTATTCCACTAAAATTTTGACACTTCGTTGGATCGAAACGCTACTGAAACGTTACTAAATCCGAACGTTTCATCTGTCAAAATTAACGATTTCTAAAAAGTTGCAAATTTCTACTTTTTGACGATCGATAGTTAGCGTTTAATGATAGATGTGAAACAATTTATATTATTTAAATTTTTAAGAGGTGCAATTAGGTACCCCCAATTGCTGAGTGAAATAAAATACCTTGATCCATCTTCAGAATTGATAATTAAAAACATTTTGCCCTATAAAAGTAACTTCGGCAAACATAGGTATTTGTAGTGTTTGTATAGAAGAAGTTTTATCTCGGTACATTGGAGAGCTGCGAAACGTGTTCATCGGTACCTGAAGGCTATAAAAAATAGGAAACTGACGTATAACAATAGTGGTGATCTAATCGGATTTGCTGATGCCGATCATGGTGGTAATCTGGTGGACAGACGATCCTATACAGGATATGTTTTCCAAATGTGTGGTTCAGCAGTGTCATGGGAATCACGTAAACAGAGAACCGTTGCAACATCAACAACAGAAGCTGAGTACATGGCTCTAAGTGAAGCCTGTAAGGAAGCCATCTACATTCGCTCATTACTAAGCGACATCTTTTGCTTTTCGTCACCATCACCATCATTTTGTTTGTGAGTCTATATCCACTAAACAAGTCAATGTGTCATTCATACCATCAGCTCACCAAACAGCAGACATTCTCACAAAGCCACTGCCTAAGCTGAGACACTATACCTATGTGCCTAACTAATTTAGGATTAGTTTAGTGTTTTTGTTTTGTGTTATTAGGTTAATTAGGTTAGGGCATCATGTTAAGGTACTTTTGATATTATAGTGTTTTTGTACATACAGTGTGTTTATATAAAGGGTGTACATAAGTGTCCTGATTACGGGGAGGTGTAGATAAAACCTTTTTCTATATTAATCAGACACTGGCATCTTTTCGTATACCTTTTTGAATTAGTATTTTATACACTGTTTATTGTTTTTATGTCACTCTCTTCTTTACTCTCATCTGACTTTTATGTATTTACAACGTGAAATATATTAAATACTCCAATCCACTGTGACTTTTAATTCCTACATTTTAAGAGTTTGTGAGTGAGTTATCAATAGACTCTAAAGAACATAATAAGTTGTGTAAATCCATTGATATGTTTGTTTTATCATTAATTATTTATAAAAATACCTTATATTAAGGTACCAAAAAATTTTAATCTTTAACTGTCTAGCACTGTCAAGCATATAAAATTTTCTATCCAATATTATTTATTTCACAAAGATACAAGGATACTTTCAATGAGCACCCTGACGTCTGAAGTAAATATACAAAATCTGGGTATCAAACACCAGATTCCTCATCTACCTCATGAGAACATAGCAATCCATGTGATATAAATTATGTAAAATGATTAGAAAAAAAATGAAATCGAAAACTATGGAGCTAGATATACAAGTGTGATAGTGCATGCATATGTTTAATAAACTTTTTATGTACACCATTTCATCTATTTGTTATACCTAGATAGTTCTGTAATTTTGTGGTTGCTTATTGATATGTAAACTTTAAAAATAAAATAAATTATATCTTGATTATTAATCTTAAATTATTATTTTTTATTTAAAACTTACATTTTATAGATAAATTAATAGGTTTTCATTCCTCTATGAATTTGAAATGTTGAATTCATATTATGTAGATTCTTAACATAAATAAGGTCCACCTAGTTGAGGTATGTAATGTAAATTAAAATTGAAAAATTATATAATAAATAAAAAAATATTTCTGTTAAAACTTTACATAATCATAAACAATCATTGTAAATAGGAACATCGTAAAAATCATTATTAGATTGTAGGGGCTTTTGGCTTTAAGTAAACTTATCTATGATTATTAAAACATGAATTTTTTAATATTTTGTATTGAAAAAAGTAAACTATTGTAGTATTTTTACAGGAAAACTTAAAAGTGTGTATTTACAAGCATGTGTGGAATTCCAATAAAAATGGCACTGAAAAAGTCCTTGTTTACAAATTAATTAATTTATCATTATTTTTTCTGATCACTTTTGCATTTGCAATACTATATCGATATTTATCTTAAAGGAAAATAATTAAAAAACCCACTTCAAGCAATTAGTGCTTGAGGTGGGATTTAAACCCATAAACACTAACAGTCTGGGCGTCTGCTAAAACCAATTTAACTACCAGATAACCAGCAGGTTTTGTGAATTTAAGAATTACTTGCATTACTAGTGAGCATATGCTCATATATGTTTAGGAAGTTCACCAAAACTATATTAATAATACCATTATAGAGAATAGAATAGAAAATTCTTTATTGTTAACATTACACAAGTTATATAGGTATACAAATTTAAAACAGTTTAACAAAATAATGTAACAATTGGCAGCCTTATCGCTTAAAGTGATTTCTTCCAGGCAATCATGGGATGGAGAAAGAGAGATAACAATTTATGAAGACAGGGGTGTAAATTTTATCAATAACATTAAAAAGAAAATATGATCAAATAATAATCTTAATTAAAAAATTATAATTATGAATATTTTTTTCTGACATAAGTATTACTCACTTTTTTATTTGGAGATTATAATATTATAAAGGATTATTACATCATATTGTTAAATATAATTTGAATTTCGCGCCTTTTTAAGCCAACTCACGCTTGGCCATATACTTATTCTCTCTCTATGATCTGCTCTGTGACACCATTTTTCATACGTGTGTAATTTTTATTAAATAAAATAATCCAGTGATTAAACAACAGTTTAGTTTGATTAATTATATCAGGTTATGGGCCCAGAAAACCCCAGAAATAAGGACAGTGCAAAATCTTTCAATAAAAACTGTTACAATAAGATATTGAATGTGGACATAACCTCAATCGCCGGGAAATATTTTTTCATAGACCTCGTGGTGAAGTGTTTTGTTGTAAAACAGTACAGTTTTTAAAAATGACAGGAAACAATCAAATGTCAGTTATTGAAAAACTATCAGGCCGTGAAAATTACGCAACTTGGCGGTTTGCAGTACAAACTTACCTGCAACACGAAGAGTTGTGGGACTGCATTGAATCGGGTTCAAACACTCCAGTGGATATGAAACGAGATATAAAGGCTAAAACAAAGAT